GTTAAGCTGCAAGCAGAAAGGTGTTACTACACTAAAAATAAAGCACCCAAATAAAGACATCCAAGGTAGAGTTCTCAGACACTTGTATAACTTGGCAAATAGCATTATTTGTAAGCCTGGCCAAGAGCAAGCCCTTTCTGGGACAAGCACGGTGTACAGAGCAATGTTTTCCTGATGCCAGACAGGTAGGGGAAAGGAGAGTAGCACTGCAACAATTAAAGTCTCACAGGGGAAATCAAGCCAAATGAGGGCTGGAATACTGAACTTGCTATTCCTGGCCCATCCTTTATACCCAACTCCACTGCTTTACCAGTCAAAAATTCTGACATCTGTTCTGACAGAAAGCATGTTAGCAAAGCACAGCATGCTCACAGTGCATGGACCTCCAGCAAACAAGAGCAGAAGTGGAAGCATTTGCCAGTATGAGCTCCATTCTGACACAGGTTGGCAGAATCCTCCAAGGATAACCAGCTCCAAATACAGCTGTGAAGATAGAGCTGGCTGTGGAATTTAGAGCTGGAAAAAGAAGTAAAAGCATTTCTTGTGCTGAACATCTGCTCTTACCTCTCTCCTGTAAGGTGAAATTAATTAACACAATGTCAAATAGCAGACAATAGGAGGTAAAAAACCCAAATACTTATTTTTACTTACCCATAAGAACAAGAATAAACAACTTCTTTTTGTTCTTTATTCCAACACATTTTAAAGGGTGAAAAGTAGTTCTAAGAGCATTTCCCAATAAAAGTAGCAAAGGGGGAACTTTTAATTTTTGAAAGCATAGGAGGTAATCTCAAAGGCTACTACACACAGCTAAGCCTAGGTGCTTACCTAGACAAGTATGTAATGATAGCTTTCATCTCTATGTATTTCTATAAATCAGTTGCTTATCTGAGGACTGTTAAGTCCTCAGCTGTTCAGATGCTAACCAGTAAAGCAGGAATTAGAATACTCCTGTATAAGGCTGGGACTTCATTCTCATATGCTCTATGCTGGAACAGTTCAATGTCACATTTTAAAAGCAAAATCTCCCTTTCCATCATTGGCTGCTCCAAGAGACCATACTGGGCAGACCAAAACAATTAAAAGCCTACTAGAAACAGTCACAACTGTGTTTTGTAATCAAGCATGGCAACACAAGTACTCTGCATTTATAGCACCGAAGGCATCAACTCCACTGCCTGTGGAACCTTTTCTTTCACAGGGAAGGTTTCGTGTTCAGCTGCAAGTATTTGCCTTTTCCCTATGCATGGCCCCACAATGTTATTGGGAAAGAGCATGTCCAAGAAGTGTTTCATGCAAGATGATTTGGCAGTTTTTGGCTAGGTCTCTGAAAGTTCCAGGCAACAAATATCAAGCACCTTGTTCTTAGTATACACAGCATTAGAGCTGATCTCTTCCCGATGAGCTCTGTGGTGCTCCAGCTTTAGTGGGTTGCCACTCATCTCCATGAGAAAGGAAGCAATGGAGGAGTGGCTTGGCCGAAGTCCGCATTCCCGAACAAGGACTACCGACCCCCTCTAGTGGCACAACGATAGGGAAATTGGTTTGATTTGACAGCTGCAACACAGCAATTAAAGGATAATCACAAAGGGATGACCAGCACAACAGTTTAAGTACCAAATTCATTTTAATGAGTTCCAGATTTTGTTCCCAGAAGGAATTTATAATGTGTCAGTACATTATTAGGCAGGTACATAACTTCTCCTGAAGTACAGGCATGAGGAGAAACAACTGTAACACACTAGGTACTTAAGATTACTCTTGGAAACCAGTTTTCCACAGTATTAGAAATAAGGCATGTTTCAGGCGTGCATGTGGCTGCTATATCCAGTCCTCAGATGCCATATTTGGCCTTTAGTTCTTCCACTTTTGCTATGTAAGCTTTCATTGCATCTTCTTTGGACATTCCTGAAGGACAGAACACAGGAAGCAGTCAGCTACTCTTTGCAGATTAAAATGCCTTTTACAAGTCACAATTCCTTGGTATAGCCAATGGCTACTGGACACCAGAGGAGCTAGGAAGGTCAGCTGGCTGTGAATCCACTATTAAAGTTTTACACAAATGTGTTCATCAGCCATGATAAAACAGTGTTTCAAACCCAAGTTGTTTTTGGACAGACAGCAACTAAACTGTGTATCAGTTCTATTAATGCCATAGCCAATTATTACAGGAAACCCATTCAGTCAACTTAAGACTGCATTCAGATGTTAGCGGTGGTTCTTTATAACACCAGAAAACACCCCCCCCCCCCATTGTCATAGATTAGACCACTTGTTAGGCTCCTTGTTTAGAGCCAAGAGGTCAGTTGTTTCTTCTAAAGCATAGATGCACAACAACTACAGGGAGAGCTCAGTCTCTGGAGTACTAGGCTGGGACCTGGAAAACAGACTTAGGTTTCTGTTGATGTTACTGTTCTCCTTTGTTTAACATCTTGAGCCAGGTGGGCATTTTGCATCTTAATTCCCTTTCACACAGGCAATATTTTTCATGATTACTTGCGCCTTGCAGAGGTAATCAAAAGTTTATTATCATAGCATTCAGAACTTCTAGAACTCTTGTATTATAAGGCAACACTATTCTGTTTCATGCTGAACTATGCATGCTTTTCTGACTTTTATTAGTTTTTAAGAGGACACTTACCTTTCAATGCACTCCAGGCATCCCACTTTGCTTTGCCTTTGAAGTCCAGCATACCAGGGCGTTCTGAGAGAGACAAGGTAAGCAGCAGAATTAGTTTGTGTGATCTGGGTGTAGGTAATACCCACCTGAAGGCTATTTAGCTCTTAACTCTGACAAAATACAATGGTTCATCTTTGCAGCTGTTACTTACTAACCTGTAGTCAGCAGATCACCTCAAGGGAACACACTAGAACACTGCTGGTGACAACTCTGTCAAGTTCCCTTGAGACAGCAGCATTTGAGCAGAAGTGCACCAACTAGTGTGATTTGGTTTTATGGTGCTTTCTGAAGAGCCTGTTATAACCTGACAGCTATCCAATTAAAGAACACCAGCCCTAAAGTAAAGCAAAAATGCCCTAAGGTCCATTACATGCAAAGACATGAGAATAGAAGCTGGTAGCATACAACTCAGAACTTACTATCATCAAGCTAAGGGTGTGTTTCTAACCTATAGCTCCGCATTTGTTCTCTCATCTAGGGATGAAACCTCGGAATTCTAACTCACTTTGCTGTAGGCTACTGTGGCCAAGTAGAGAATGAATGATGTATAAATGGCTATTCTTCGAGTCAAGTCCCCTCTGCGATTTTACTTCCCCTCTGTCTCCTTAAAGACAATTCTTAAGAATTGTATAAAATGGAACTGGACAGTAGCCACAGAAATACCCTTGTGCAGCTCACATGGCACAGTGACCTGCAGAGCTACTTGGCAGCTCCACTTCTCTCCAACACAAACCCCATCAGTCACTCTTTCACAGGCTGCTTTTCTGGCCAGCTCATGTTGGCTCCTGCTTCACAAGAGGGCAACCACGTACAGAAGTGGTGGTATATTCACAGCTCTAGAACACCATTTCCCCTTGTCAAGCATTAAAAATTCTAAGGGTCCAGCCACACTGAAGGATGGTATCTTAAACCCAGAGTCGGTTCTGTTCTCCCTCCACACTGCCCACCTTGCAAAAAGGAGACTGCATTTACCATTTCATGCACACTTCACGGCCAGCTTTTAATTCAACAGACACCCAATAAACTTCACCAGCTACTGGGTTAGGAGGCCAGCACTTTAAACAAATGACCTTTCTCCTTTCTAATTCTAGCTACTCCAGCGTTAGACAAGGTCAATAGAGACAGGCTTCACTCTGAATGTTATTGCGGGGGCTGAGCTGCCAGTGGCAGAAATGTAGCAAGAGAAGTAGCAGGAGACATTTTATGTAGTGTACCTGCAGACATATTTTTGCCACAGTCTTTCCAAAATATGATATTTAATTGCAGCTCCTGTAAGAGTTTTCTCCCTTTTGGTTTTGCTTTCCAATGCTATTTTTAGCAGCTCGTCCAGTCTATATAAACTGTGTGTGTCATTACCCTCGTACTGTAGTTCTACACTTCTATAGCTTGCTTTGCTGTTTAAGGCTGTTTAACCCGAGAAGTGTTTGCATTAAACCAGCAGAGCTCTGTAAAAATCCCAATCCCACTATTTGCACTAAGCTAACACGCAAAGGATCCCCAGCCCCTTGCTGCACGATCCGGACGGCTGCAGCTGGGTTAATCTAAAAACCAGAGATTGCACAAACACTTATCGGGCCGGGCTATGCCCCGGCCGTAAATCCGAGCCAAGTGGGCTCTGAGTCACTTAAACCGAGCCGCGGGATTGCGTGAAGTACAGCGGGGAAGAGGCTTTGCCCCCAGCACCGCCCGGGGCGGCACCTACCCGTGTTCACGTCGCCCACCGTGGCCTGTTTGTAGTGGCTGTAGATGTCGAGCATCTCCTGGTCCGCGGGCTGCGACTTAAGCTGTTTCACCTCCTCGGCGGCCTTCTGGAACGCGGCCTGGGGGAGAAAGCGGCAGTGGTTGATGAGGGGAAGGTGCCCGGTTGCCCCCCGTACCCCCACAGCCCCCGGTGTCGGTGTCCCTCCCCCCCCACCTCGGTCATCGCTGCAGCCCCTCTGCGCTCCCGGCGCCGCCGCTTCTGCCGCGCCGCCCCCGCCGCGCGCGCGCCTCTCCCCTCGCCTCACCCGCCGCCGCCCAATCAGCGGCGCCGCGCCCCACGCGCGGCCAATCGGCGCCCGCCGGTGGCGGGCACGCGCCGGGCAAAGGGCCAATGCGGAGGCGGCGCGGGGCCCGCCCATTCATCAGTGGGGCGAGGAGGCGGCGGGACCGGAGAGCAGCGCAGCCAATCCCGCGCTGCGGTGGGTGTCACCCAGGGCACATGATTGGTTAGGGGGTGGGGCGGGACCCGGAAGTGCCGGCGGGGAGCGGTAACGGGCCCAGTCGGGCGGGTGGCGGGTGTGGGGCCGAGAGGTTGTGCTGGGGCGGGTCCCGGTGGGTCCCGGCGGTGCTGCGGGACCGGGGAAGGGTCCTTTCCACAACAGGAGTTTACCGCCAGCGCTTCTGACCTGCGCTGTTCTCCCCGCGGAGGCCCGGAGTAGTACCGAGTCCCAGCTCTACGCGGGATCGGTCTGTTCGTTCCGAGTAGTAGATGTAAAAATCGGCGATTTCTGGTTGGGCTCCCAAATCTATGCTCTTACAGTGTTTTTCCATCTTGCTCAGGAGAAAGTGAATTGAATGCTGTGCCCTTCAGATCTCCAGCCCATGCGGAATAGCACCAAGAAAATATCCACCTTTGCTTTTGTGATGACCCACCATTAAGGGGAAGGGTGTCTGCAGCTGTTTAATATAAATCTAGTTATTTCAGGTGCGAAGTGTGCTTTTTGTTTGTTTGTTTGGCGTGTTTTATTTGTGTGTCACAGCTTATTTGCAATGGAATTGGAGCTCTGGGAATTATTAACCAAGAGGATGTAAAAGCAAGTTGCCCTGTGTTGTGGAAGGTCTGTGCCCTCGTTCTGCAGATAATACTTGAAGAAAATGTTGCTACTTTTAAATACAGGAAAGGCTGGGATGTACCTGGATGCCTGCATGGTGATGGGGCACTTAAATAACCACCTCCATTAAAAAAAAGGCAAAAAATAAAAGGCACACAAAAAGAGCATAAAGAACTGGTGAGAGAATCCCTCGCAGGACTGGAGGTGGTGACTGAAATGGTTGCTCCGGGATGGGAGGTGCAGGAGTTGTGCTGTGCCCCTGCCTGATGTCACAGCACATGCACTGCGGTCTATGCTCCCTGCTGCTGTAGCCACAGCAGTTTACCATGTGACCAGGAAACAAGGTTGCTGAGGGATACCCAGCACCAAAACCAGAGAAGTAGGTTGAGGTAGGAAACAGTTATGTTTTCCTGTGGAGAGAAAGAACCCGACAGAACAACATGTGGGCTTCTTTGAAGAGGGATTTGGGTTGATGAAGCCACTCTGCTGTAGGTTCTGCTCTCTTTTAAAGTATATAAGCCCTGTAGAGCCATTCTAGAGACCTACTATTATAAATGAAATCTCTTAATTATGTGGAACTGTACCAGGAGGATTATTTGTATGTGTATATGGGGGCGGTTTTTCCACTTTCTCTAGGGAGGTGAAAATGAGCATTGTGTGACAGCTTAGGCATTTTTCAGGGTATTACACTCTCTGCAACATAAGTACGTTAAAAAGGTTTTGTTCATATTAGCACATTCTTCTAGAGCACGAGGTTACTCACCCAGCAGGTGAAGTCACTTAAAACCCAAACAACATAATTGCATTTACCCACATTTTTGCATGTGAAGTCTGATGTGGCACCACACAGTACAGGTACAGATCATGTGGTGTGCAGTATCAGTAATGTCCTGTTTGCTTTGAGACCTGGTTACTGCTTCTGTAGGAATAATAGAAGTGAAACCCTGAAAGACACAATGTTATTGAACTTCTTGCCATGTTTTAATCTTTGCATGAGCCCCAACGTGCACTTTTTTTTTCCAGCTGTGCCCATGCACAAAGGAAAGGCAATAATTCCTCTCTTTAATGTTTTCCAGGTGATTCAGAATTAATTCTCATGTCATCAGAGAGCTCGACTGTCACAGTTCGTCTCGTTCGCTCTTTTGAGCACCGGAATTTCAGACCTGTGGTGTACCATGGAGTTGCCTTGGATCAAACAGTGAAAGAGTTCATTACTTTCGTGAGGAAGGGTAGGGGGTGCTTGTCTTGTTCATTCGTTTCAGGCCCATGTGTTGCTGTCTCTGCCCAGGAAAGTGGAGGGGAGCAAATGAATGGGAATTCTGTGGCTTTGGTAGAGATGCCAGATTTGTGTTTACATCCCCTGTGTGCTTTTCTCCCTTGGATGAAGGATCTGGAGTTAATAAGAGCTTCCATGGTCAGTGTGCCATGCCTAAATTTGGATAGACTGCTCCCCCTGCCCAAACCCCACATTAAGTCCAAAAGGAACAAGGGCATTGGTGCATTTAGCTCAGTGCCTCAGGCTCCTTGCGTGGTGCTGTCAGGCAGATATTCACAAATTAATAGGAATAAATTAATAGAATTTAGAGAGCCTTTGATCCTAAGGAACTACACCAGTATGTGGAATGTAGGAATGCAAGTCTGTTTGCTATTTGTGAGAAGAGAGAATCTTGAAAAATTGTTTTTGACACTGTGAGGTCTTGCTATGCATGTTTGTTTCTGAGTTTCTGTCTCCATCTTAGGCTTTGTGGGCTCTCTGTTTTAGAAACCTTGTTGAAAGTGACAGTGAATGTAAAAGTTAATTAGTGCAGACCAGCCCACGCATGGACTCAGCTGTTAGGGTGTTACCCTTGATGTTGCAGGTGGATTTCCACACACCTAAATGGAGACATTCAAAGGGAACAGAATAACATCATTTGTTTTTTTCACATGAACTCATCTTGGACAAGTCTCGAACTGTTGTAGATGATAACATTTGAGCAACTCATAGGACAGTGTCCTGGGACTCACAGCTTATTGTGCTTTTGGTGACTTCCATACTTCTAGACAGTGATAGGGATGGCAAGATCTTAGGATGCTTTTAGAAAACTACAAGAACATATGGTACAGAAGAAAATAAAAAATAATGCTGAGAAACTTGCTTTTGATGTGTACAGTGTTGCAACTCACAGTTGTTTGAGACAAAGCCAGTGCCTTGAACAAGTCTTTTTGGAACCTCATTCCACAGAGGGATAGTGCTGTTCCTGGTCCAAAATTCATGTTCCTTGCTTTACTGTGATCTGTTTTGAAGGGGAAGTTTGAGATAAATTGTTAAAAGTAGTGGATGAAATCATGGTTTCAGCTGCTTTGCTGCCAAGCATTCCACAGGCCTTCCGAGGCCCTGGTTAAGTCCCTGGGTGTCACTGGGAACACTGGCACCCAGGAAAGTGTCAGTGTTCTTGCAGTTACTTATGAGCTGTGTCCTGTATACAGCTGGAGAGTTGATTTTCTACAGTTTGGCTTCTTTTTTTGTAGCTGGTTCTCATGGCTGTGTTTACTGAATGATTCAGTTACGAATGACAGTTGTGAGCTGTTTATATGAAGTAGAGAGAGATGCTGTGCAAACCATTAAAAGGGTACTCCTGGCAGATTTCTGAAGGATCAGACTCCTGTGATCATATCTGAATTGCACTGACTCACTGTCCTCATGGGTTGTTTTGTTCAGAGGGACTTCATGCTCAAGTGAAGTTAATCACATGTGGGGTAACAATAGAATCTGAGCCAAAGGTTGTGTTTTAGTATTGGATGCTCAACCAAGTCTCCTGTGTTGTGGATTTATTTTGATGTAAAGGATGTCCAGGATGCATACACTAAAGAATAATAGAAAATAAAATATTGGAAATAAAAAAGAGAGAACTTTGTTTTAACTTGGTGCTTTTATTTTAACAGATGTGTCTTCAAGAACAGGACTTCCTCCTCCCTTTAAAAATTACAAGTATGGTAGGTGTGGGGTTTTTTTCTTGTTTTAGTTACTGTAAAATGCACATATAAGCACTTTATACCAGTGCTTATACAATTTAAAAGATAATTATTGTGGAATACTCATGCTAGTGCCAGCTCTTGTAGCTGGGGTTATGGTACTGGGATCATGTCTGCAGAACTTGACCATTATTTTGAAGATCCATATTAATCTTTGAATTAGGCTGCATGTTATGCATTATTTGCTCTTGGGTACTGATGGTTTTTAGTATTAATTTTTTATTGCTTTTATAAGTGCCTTTTAACTTTTTCTTTGCCCTAATGAGCAGCTTGTGATCTCAAAACACTTTGTAGTTCTCTATTTGCTTATGTACTTCAGTATCTATTTACTAATGGTGAAGTCAGAAAGGCTGGTGAAATGGGAGCTGAAGGCAGTAAGTAGAAAATGCTGAAGACTTTTGTGCCTAAATAGTTTACATTATATAAGAGAAGCAGGGGAACTTTGCTCAAAGAAGATATGAAAGCTCTTAAATACAAGTTGGTGGAATGAAATAGCCTAAACTTGGCAATTCTGAAAGTTCCTTTGGAGTTTTGCTGCAAGTGATCCTCTGTCTCTGATTTTCTTGGAGCTGACAAACTCCTTCCTCTACAGTGATTCAAGTAATTGAATAAGAAACCTACTCAGTACATGTGAATGGTAATAAACTCTCTTTGCCTATTAAAAAAAAAAAAGCCAAGGATTTAATTTTGTGCTCTTGCTGATGACGAAGGAGATAGTGCAAAATGAAACCAGAAAAAGGGTTAGGGATTAAGATTGACGATATGCCAGTGGCAAGGACTTGAATGTTACTATTATTTTTAATATGTTACTTAACATCTAGGTAATTCTAAGTTTGAATTTGGAGGTGCCCTTCTTTCCATCAGTGGCTTTGGCCAGATGAGGGGGTCCTGTCTAGAACTGCTGCTATCGGTTGTATTCCTGGTGTTGCCTATCCCTGCTGCTAGTTCTTTCATCTCTGGGAGATCAGTTTAGTTTTTCCCAAGGCATAAGTTGTGGCCGAGCACCTGACTGTGCCGTGTAGGACTGAGCATAACTTTAAAACCTGCTACACCAGTTAGTGGGGGCCTACTTTTACTGGGATGGTGCTAGCTGCGTGAAAATTTTCACACAGGAAAATCAAAGCCAAGTTCCTCACCTTCCCCTCAGGCTGTGAATCATCCATGTTCATGTTTTTGCCATCTCTGCTGTCTCTACACTGCTCCACTGTCTTTCTTGGATTTTTGTCAGAAAAGGACAGTGAGACTTTTGCATGAATAGTGCTCGTAAGAGTCAGATTTTTCCTTCTGCTTTGTTTGGCAGTGCCAGAAATCTCAGTTGGATTGGCTGTCTCTCACCTTGCCTGTTTCAGCTTCCTTCTCTCCAGAATTCAGCACTGCTTTGTTCTCTCAATATCATATATAATGCCATCTCATTTTTCCTCATGGATTGGTGCTCTAACTCACATCTCAAAGATTATGACTTTCATTTTCTCTTTGTTTCTTTAAACACATAATTCTTGTCCCTGGTCTAGAGCTCTTCTCAGTCAATCTTATCTTCCTACCCCATCATTGCCTTCTTTCCACTGGTGAGGGCAGTGAAGATAGTGCCATCTTGTCTCATAAGCTGCTTCCTAGTTTTCTTTTCTCCATGAATGTGGAGCAATATCGTAGATGTTTCACAGAATCAGACTTCAGAAAGTGATTTCTTATCTACTGTCATGAAAGACCTATTAACAGAAAAGATAAAAAATTGTCAATATGATGGAGTGGAACTAAATGGGGATGAAATAGCAAAGGCTAGTGGGAGGACATAAGGCTTTAGCTAGGATGAGAAGAGACTGTAGTTTTATCTCTGTAACAAAGTTAGAGAAGCCATTTAATAGCTCAGATGAAGACAAGGAAAACTGCTGAGTGCCAGTGGTGGAGTTGTGAACAAGTGAAATTGAGACAGTGGTTCAGGGAATGACTGGGCTAAGACTAGAGAAAAGGGAATGTGGCAAAGTAGGCAGAGAAGCTTAAAACTGACAGGCAGAGGCTGTGTTTTATTTGCTGTGGTAGAAAGGTTTCTTGATTGCAGTATATTTTTTCTGTGGTTGCTTGGTCTTTTTGCAATGCTTCTATGCAAGATGGATCCTGGTAACTGCAATTTAATGTCTGTCTTGCTTCTTATGCCACAATTATTACAACATACCAAGGCTGCCTTCTCAGTGACCTCTGTGGTGGGAATAGAGTAGTTTCTACCTTATGCAGTGTTTTAAATAGTGTCCAAAATGGACCAGAGGCATATGGAAGCAAACTTCTCAGTGGGAGTGTGATTTCTGTTATTCTGAACGTCTGAATACTTACTCTTGGTAGTTTGTGAGTTGGTTTAGTCTATATTTAACTTTGTTGCATCCTTCTGTTACCAGACTATTTCAACACATAGTGTTCACTCAGTGCACAAACCCAAACTAGAAGAGAAAATGAGCCGGCAAGCAGAACTGGTTTTTCTTCTTTGCTGGGAAAGGATTGATGTATTACTCTGAATTTGTTCTAACACAGCAGCTTTGGAGTTTGATTATTATTTTTTTTTAAATGCTGCATGGCTTTAAGTGCTTCCATTCCCTCTGACTTCCATTCCCTCTGGATTCTTGCACTCATCCAGTTGCTTCAGTGACCGCATTATTTTCCCCTGTTTTTCCCTTCTGTAAAAGCCCTGCCCACATTGCCAGAAAAAAGTGGCACTTTTTTTTTCTTTTTTTTAATAGCATAATTTCTAAAAGTACTACATTGCACAAACATATCAGAGATAAAAATTACTGAAGAGGATATAGCATTAAAAAGAGAAGAGCCTGTACCTATTAATGGAAGATGAACTTGCTTAACAAAATTTCTACTGTGGGTACTTCATTCACGAGAAGGAAAATTTCAAGGATGATCTGAAGTGGTCAGGTTACTGTCTTAATCACTTGTTGCCTATCAGCATAGCTTTAATAGTTGACAGTGCATAAATGCTGTTGGACCCGCCCCAACTGCATGTGTAAAACCTGTTAAAACACCCTAAGTGGCATTTAAATTGGTGTCTTTTGACTGGCCATTGGGATGGTTATTAGTTATTGTAATCAGACACCTGACAGAAGCCCATTAGAATGTGGTACCTTAATGTTGCATTGACTGGTTTAAGGCTGTGGCTGCGGGACTGGGAGATTAAGATTGAATAAGCAAAATTGTTAGTAACAAAAGATTTTCAAGGTTCTGCCTTTGTTTTTTTTCCCCCAAGTACAACTTTGTCTTATCTGCTTATTAAGCCTTATTTTAGGAAAACATTGTATTTTCTTTCAGATACAATGAAGATTATTCACCAAGCACACAAATCTAAGGTAAGATTATTAGCTGTGTTCTTCCCCTTTTATGTGCTTTGATGCAGGGAGATCTCTGCATTGTCAAACAAGACTTGGGCAGAGAAAATCAGTAAATTCTTGTTTTGTATTCTGGTTCTCTGATTTGTAGACTGGTGAACTTGTAGTGAGTTTGGAAGATGATGACAAACTGATTCTGAAAGAAGACAGTACACTGAAAGCAGCTGGAGTAGGTGAGAGTACATTTGTATTGACTGGAGATGCTGTTCATTGTAGTTGCATTAAACTGATAACTGGCTGATTATGTTTGGATAGGCTACCGAAAAGTAAATGCTATTCCTGATGCTCTTTACACGACTTCATAATTATTCAGGGAAGAATTATTCAAATCATTGGTCTGAGGGCAGCAGGTATCTGCACTCCAAATGTTCAGAATGCAAATTGTGATTTTTGGAGGGTATGCTTATAATTCTGCTGAGAGTAATTTTAAATGATTGACAGATAGGTTATTAGTATCGTGTCTGCTTAGTCTTATCAGTAACATTTAAACTGATGTTTTGGTTAGAAATGTAAGTAGTGGAACCAGGATGGAATAATGAAATAAGATTAGATTTGTTTAATGTGCTGCATACAGTGCCTGATAGTCAGATTGCTCAGGAAAGCTTGAGCAGTATCATTTAGAGAATGTGCTGAACATGGCAAAGAGTTGAAACTTGACCTGATTTCTCACATTTTGACAGGAGACTACATATAGGGCATGTCTTTTGGTAATAATGTAAAGAAATGTCTGTCATGATAAAATTGATAGTCCCTGGATGTCCTTTGGGCTTCTCATGAACGTGGCTGAATGACTTTGTGGCAGCAGGGTACTTAAGGGAGGTAGTTGCATTCCACCTTGATATGGACGTTTGCTCATTTGAATCTGATTTGCCTGGCTGGAACACATTAACTGCCTGTGCCCTAAGTGCAGGGGCTTCACAGAGGAAGCCCCTTCCTGTTCCTGATGCCCACTGATGGCTCCCTAGCTACTGAATGATTTCTTTCTCATAGGTTTCTTGGCTCTTTCGTTTCCTTCCATTTACTTTCTGCTTTTATGTGACTCGGGATGTCTCTTCAATGTTTTTCTCTGGGGTGAACTGCAGCTGGTCTCAGTACACCTTTCCTAAAGGTCTTTGGGTGTTTCTATAATATGAATCATAGTTATTATCTGCTTGTTTTTACTGAACCAGGTGTTTTTATCTGGAGACAAAAAAAAAAAAAAGGAGGATTACTGGCACTTAAGCCTTATAGATTTGTAATTTAGTTAGCAGAAGAGTCATTTAAGCATGATTTTTATCTACCTAAGAGGCAATACAGTTCAGGAGAGGGACTGATGACAGTGCCAAATGTTGAATTAGAAACAACACTGTCAGAGCTGGCTTCTTTCAGAAAGGTATTGATAAATATTTGTATATATTATCCCTCTTTGAAACTAGATTTGTAGCTACAGCAGTGAAACAGTTGGATGCTATCTCAAAAGAGGTGTCAAAACATCAGAATAACTGTTATAGAGAAAGGAAATAGGAATAGACCAGCCTGTTCTGTGTCTCTGTGCAAAGGGAGAGGTGGTTTATTCAGGGCAGAAAATGATTTAAAACTGCTTTTAATTTTTTTCTTTTCTGAATAACTAACAGCAGTTAATCATTAGTGTATAGAGGATATTAGTGATAGAAGAGGAAAACTCTTTCTTTGGAAAATGCCATGTGCCATTATGCCTTTTTGAATTTTTATATGTTCCAGCATATCTTGATGTGAAAATTAGCTAAGTTAGGAATGAGTGAGGTCTTTGTAGTAAAATTTTGAAGATTTTATTTTTCCTCTTCAACTAGTAGTGGAAAAGAGTAAACCAAGAAAGTGTATGATAGCATATACCAACGATCCTCATTTTGTACAGTTTCTTTAAATCAGTAAGGAGATTTGAAATCTCCTATTGAGATATTACAGTTTTCCAACATCTGGTCCGGACAAGATTTACCAGAATAAAACTGAGAATGGCCATTAGAAAACCTGGGAAATTCTGAGACATGCAGAACATTTATTCGAAGCTGCAGTTCATTGCCCTTGGCACTATACAGGGTTGGGCTAGAGAGTTATAAATTATGAGGACATTAGATAAGTATCCTCAGGAAAGCCTCTGTGGTAGTGATTATTATTACAGTTATTATCTAGTCAGCAAAGTTCATGCTTGCTTTTTTTTTTTTTTTGAAACGGGGTGTATGTTAATAAAGTGTTCAGTATTCATTGCAAATATTCTTGTCTGTTTTCTAGTTGAGATTCTAAAATCCCTTCTGCTCTTTTTTTTTTTTTTACAAGACAGGCAGACTTCATTAACTTAAGGTTTAATTTAAAAAAAGAATGTGGAACTTATTGGCTCAGCACCTTAAGAATTCCATGTTTAATAATTGCGAAGGCTTTCCATCAGATTTGTCTCTGTTCTGAATTAGTAATGTTGCTGACTTATTGTTTTAAAAGAGGAAGTCCTTGACCTACTGGGTTGAAAGAATTGTGACTGCTCTGAACCTTTGTGGGTCCTTTAGCTCTGCTATATCCCCTGTGAATAATTAGAGGTATTTGAAGGTATTGCTGGAGAAGCCAATTTGTGTCTTTCACTTTGCATATTGTTGAAGCCTCATGAATTAATCATCAGCAGGGCAAAAAATTAACTTCTTCAGACACATATTTTGATGGGTCATGAGGGAGAATGTAAAGTGATCTGTAAAATATTCTACTGATCCTCTAAGTATTAAATTATTATACCTACAGGCTAATTTAATGGGAAAAAAAGTTTCTTTTCCCCTTTCCTAACAGAAAAATGCACAAAAAAAGGAGTGTATCATGCTTCATTATTTTCCTACCGTTTGAAGGTGTTAGAAATGCAATGACTTAATTTGCTGGATGCTTATACAAACAATTCTGAAGACTGTTAAACAAATCTTGAGGGGTCTTTTGTACATATTTACTTCTATATATTCATGTTCTTGGTGGTTTTGTTTGTTTGGGGTGTTTTTTAACAAGGTTACCTGACATCTTTAATACTGGAGTCTTTTTTGCAATAATATGAGAAGGAAAAGTGTGTGGAGAGTTATAATTGTCTTCTAAGATTCTCGATAGCTGGCTGTTGGGTGGTTCATTTACCGGTGTGCTAAATATTTAATTTTTTATTCGTTCCAGCAAATGAGACGGAATTAGCATTCTTCTGTGGGGAAGATTACAGGAACTACAGAGCTAATCCTGTTTCAGCCTGGTGAAGATCCCAAGAGATTGTTTTGTTTTCCCATACCTGTTGTAAATTTCCCTTATTCTGCTTAATGAGATTTTTTTTAAAGATCAATAAATCCTAGAGGATTGCTTTGCAAGCAGTGCAATTCCCTTACAATAGAAATTAATTTCTGTCAATATGCCTCGACTGAGAGAAGGAAAACTGGGGGACATAAATTACTTTTCTCTTTCTCACTTCTCTCTTTCCTTTGCTTGCCTCTTATGCTTCAGGCAGTGCCATCTCTGACCTGTGACACACGTTCTTGGTGTGATCCTACAGCAGAGAGTAGCTGCATATGGAGATTATACAATGCACAGTAAGATCCCATCACAGTACTAACTTCTAATGAAAATGAAGCAAAACCTCCTTCAGTTAAATGAAAAGTTTTATGACCAAATCATTAGGTATTTTAAAGAGCTTGAGAAGAGAATGTCACTGTTTCCCAAGTCATAGCTTTACTTCTCTCATTTTATGTTTGGTCTCTTTTGTTTAAGTAGTGCAGGCTGGCAAGTGTTTCATGCTTTTCACTGGTGAATGCTTTCCATTATCCTCTCTTCCAGCCCTCTTTAGCATGCTGAAAGGGACAGATGACTGTAGGGAGGCTTTTGTGTACAGGACCAGCTAGCCTGTTTCTAGCTTTAATTCGTGGAGACACCTTCATGCAGAGGTAGCAACTCGAGGTCTGCCAGAACGTCAGTGTGCCTAAGTAGGAATTGGGCATTTTTCCAAATGGAGTGAAAGCTCATGGTTCCAGTTTTATTCTTAAAACCTGAATCATTGCATTTTTGTGAGGAGAGGCCCAGTCTGTGAGCCACGTCTTTAAAACTGGAATTGATCGCTTTCTGCTTTCCATGAGCCAAATACTCTGTTGCTATGTGTTTGTTCTTGGTAATTCCAGTCTTTTCTACTACAGGAACCAAATAAAGAATAATAGAAAATAGTCATGCATTCAAGAAAGTACCTTTAGATAGATACCACTTATGAAATGCTTTCTAGGGGGTATCAAGATGGGACATTGTGCCTTTGAGCCTCTCTTCAGTGAAATAGGAATGATGCTGGCTCTCTGCCTTAGCAGGTTTTTTGGGCATAGGCTCTGCTAAATCAAATGAGACCTCACATGCAGTTGCTGTACCCTACGCATGTACCCTCAGCTTTGAGTGAGACCTGACAATACTATTTCCACAAGAGACTTTCTGGAGAAGTAAGCTTATAGTTACCTGGAGCTTTGATTATTTTTTTTTTTAATTGATGTGATACTGAAAGGAGACGTGTGATTTCCAAAGTATCTAAAAAAAATTTCCCTTTAATTTAGATGCAGGACCAAAGAACCCTCCACGTATTGTTCCCGCCTTGTTTTCTTCATCCTTCCTGACAACTCTCTGGTTTAGACTGTTTCTGTAGCTGGTGTTACTCACCAACAGCTTTACTTCAGAGTTTTATTCTCTTCTGAAAGTACTCTTAACACTTTTTCAACTGTGATTAAAAGGGTGAGTATACCTTTGTCTTGTAAGGAGGAATCTTGTGTCACTGAAGTCACCTGTATTCTTTTGGGATTTAGATGCTCTTATGCATGCCCTGATGAATTTATGAGAACTTACCTCTTGCCTCCTCTTTCTGTCCAGCCAGCCTCTCTGTTGCTAGTACCTGCTCTCCGAATATGTGCTCATGTCTCATCTACCTTCTTACACAGTCTGTTGTGTTTGCAGATTTATCTGGCTAATACAGATTTGTACTCATCTTCTCAGGCAGTTTAAGGTAATGCATTCCAGTCCAGCTTTGTTCAGCCAAATTTACAATAATGAAGGTAACTTCGTAAGGATAGATGGTATACTGGAGAGATCAATGTCTCAGACTGGCCTGCCAAGGCATCTAGATGGTGTCAGTCAGCACACTCGGGCTTTCAGACTGCTTTCAGACTGAGCAAACACTGCCATTCTTTTCCCCCTGTTCTCGGGATTTGAATTTGATCTCCAGCCCTTTCAGACAGATTTGGATTGGTTTTGCGATCCTTTTTTTCTAAGGCATTTGTGTTTGAAAGAGTCACCACATTTTAACAACTGTTCTTTCTGGGCTTGTACAGTTTCAAACTTTCAGTGACACTTTCAGTGCGGCACAGTGGAAGAGGGATTCTACTGCATCAGTGAGAAAAACTGTAAATGTTCTAATGCAAATATACAAGAATGATGTGCCTAGCACTCCAGATTAGCTTCTCTTTCCAAGGGAAGAGTTAAACTACTGCTTTGTGAGCTCAGTTTGCTCTGGCAATGGCACTTCATTGGCTCCTTTCTCCAGCAGCACAGTAGAGCCTTTTGTAAAGCTCTCAATGGCCATACATGTAAACTGGTTTCTTCCTGAGGTGTTTTTCTACTGTGTTGTTGTGGTTTGTTTTTTTTTTTTTTTAATTGGACCTTTATAATGCTCCTTTCAAGTAAACCCCACAAACCCACAGATAATAACTGAGAACATGTCAAGATATATGCTGTTCTAACACTTGTTGGTGGGATATGGTATAGCCTTGTGTCAAAGTAGATTTCATTCCAGGATTGTTGAGTACTGAATGAAAACTGAACACTGGCTAATAATATAGTAAAGACTGGGATGTCTTTGCCCACATGGTTGTGAAATCCTCTTTCTGTTGAAGGAAATCAGAGTTGGTGCCATGGTTTTTTATCCTGGCAGAGGTCATGAACTGCATTGGTTTACAGTTGCTTTTAATCAAAGCTGTAGTGGGGTAAGTCATACAGCTTTGCTAGTGTTCTTAGACATTGTGGAGTTAATAAGGATTCATCTTTCAGTGTGATGTCCTTGGAGCCTTTCACCCTTTTTTTTTAACAAACAAACAAACAAACAAACAAAAAACAAACAAAAAGAACAATATCCAGAGAGGATGCTGAAATAAGATAAAATTTCTCCTGGGTTATAGCACTGTAGCAAGGAAAGGTAGCTTAACTAAAACTCCAGGATGTAGTGTGGGGCTTGGTTGTTGCTTGGAGAAAAAAGTCACTTCAGAGGGACTGGAGTTTTGGTTAAGAGGTGTGAAAGAATAGCTGCTAAAGAGAGCAAGTTAGGAAAGCAAGAGGAAGACATAAAGGTGTAACTGAATAAACATACAAAATGTGAATTGTGCAACACTCTTGGTGCAGAGATACTGAAGTAATGCTGCTTTTTATAGCTCTAAAGGTATAAAAATGGTGCTTTTTAATAATTTTTGGAATCGAACTCATGAACTGCTGGAACAGGCATAGTTTTTTTTCTGGCTTTGTCACATTATACTTTCTGCATCCAACAGTGTTGTCTGCTTTTCTGTCCAGGGGTAATTATGTTGCCTCTTGAAGAAGCAACAGTTAAGAAAACTGCTGACATGGACAGCTGAGTTAAATGTTGACAGTTATGAATGGCTTAAAGGAGCCCTCAAAGATCTGACATGCAACCGCAGTTACAGTTGGGGAACTGCTTTATCTGATGCAAACATTCTGTCTTAAAGGTGAGCCAGAGATATGTTGTAAGTTGCAGTGGCTTCTCCCTGGGAGTATTCAACACATCCCCTGACAGACCTTTATTTAAAAATGAGCTTGAAAGTAACAGTTCAAGAGTTATTACAGCCACAATGAGACATCTGTGGGTCCTGTCCTTGGAAGATAATAGCCAGAGAAATCCTCAGTGTCCAGAGATCAAGGAGGAAAAACCAGAACACATAATACTCATTCTTGGTCTCCTATGACTGATGGGATCCTGGCTTCAGAGCACAGCAGACAGCTGGAGGCATTACAAATGCCTAAGGCAAGTGCACACTTTTGCTTATTGAACTGTTTGTACTGAGCCCAATCTTCCTGGTTGGCACCTGATCCTCCTTCCATGACTCCCTTTTCATAGTACTATTTGGCACAGATTTGCAAATGATTAATGAGTCCCGGAACATGCCCAGTAGACAACTTTGCTACTTTTTGTTTTATTAACTTTTCTCTACTCTCTGTTTCCTATTGAGTTACAGAAACAGACACACCTTTGCGTGTTTCCCCAACCACTTCCCTTTGCTTCATGCTGTCACCTCTGCTGATTTGCAGTGCTTTAATGGTTGGGTTTGCACCTCGTCTGATATGCAATAGCAGCATTTCCCATGGCAGTGAATGTACATTTTTAAAAATTTATTCATGAAGAAATATGCTTTGAAATGAGGAGGAGAGTTTTTCTACACTGTCACTATTAGCGCACAACAAAGGATCCTTTCTTGTTTTTGCAGAAGGAATTGCATAGGACAGCACTGCCCCACTGGTCAGTGGAAGCAAAAATGTTTTTATCACAATGGTTTGTGTCCTGGAAGAAAACGAATAAGTTACATCAGGAATGCAAACAAAAAAAAAGGGCAGTGAAAAGCCAAGACCCATTGCCATGATCTGTCTTTGCGTGCAGAGAAAGCCACCAGATGTCAGCACAGCCTGTTCTTTCCTTCTCCAGAACCTCTGCAGGCCAAGAAATGTGTCATGTTTATGAAAAGTGCTTATCTGTGAATTGGTTTTGCCTGTGAAGTCTGTGCTATGGCTCTGGTGATGAAAGCTGAATCTTTCCTTGCAGAAACTATTTCTTTTTATATTAAAATCAAAAAGCGGCAAATTGAACTGGTATCAGCACGTAAATTCCTCTTGTTAGAGAGCATCCTTTGCGGAGCCAGTTCCCAGCGTATCTAAATCTTTACATGCTGTGAGGAGGCATTTGCAGAACATTCATTTGAAGAATTGTCTGGAAAAGATCAGTGCTAATTTGCTGAGGTTTTGTAAAGTAGATTTTAAGTATGCCTATTTTTTTTAAACACAAGGAAAACCATCCGGAACAGACACACGTGCAAAGCAGAGCAAAACATCTTCAGCAACACAGCTTAAACACATAACAAATGTATCCTCCATGCTTCTCACCCTAAGCTCCTGCTATTTCTTCCTTGTAGTGTAAGGGCTAAGGAGAACCTGTGATGAGCTGAGGTGGGATATGAGTTTCAGAGCCCAAACCCAAGCACTTTGCACAGCTTTGGGCTGTCAGTGACTGAAGTGTGCATAGATGCTGCCTAGTAAAAAGAGTAAATTTGAATTTTTGCACAGGGACAATGTGAGATTTGTGTTGCTTTCCTTGCAGCAGCTTGCAGATGCCAGAGAGACATCAAAGAGAGGGAAGTTACAGCAGCAGGTAAAGCCTGGGTAATGTAACTACTTCCTTCCTTCTGTTTTGGGCTGCTTGTTCCTTTCTTCTATCCTCATTGCACTAGTGTCATGCTACAGGTTTACCACGGGTTGCTGTGTATGAGAACTCCTTATCAGTTCCACACTATCACTATAACCCTCAAACAGTGTTCACACTCTGGAGGTAGTGCAGCTGTGCAGTCTTATGCTGTTTGCAGAGGAAGGCTGGTGTGCCCGGGTGCTGCCAGTATGGTGTGCAGGTTGTTTGGTGTTATTTTTGCTTCTCTTCCTTCTGCACCAGGAATGTCAGCAAGTACTGTTAGAACTGCTGCTATCTGCTCTCATTTCACATCCTGGGAAGGTCTAAATCTGCTTTCCAACTTGAAACCCAAGGATTATATTCTTTAAGGGCAATTTGGGAAACCCCCTCTCTTCAGTGAACTATGATTTTTAAAATGGAAAGTGTGGTGTTTTCAAGACTACTTTTGGGTGTCGGTCTCTTCCTCCAAGTTTTGAGTGACAGGACAAGAGGAAATATCCTGAAGTTGCAGTAGAGGAGGTTGTGAAGAATTGGAACAGCTTGTCTGGGGAAGTGGTGGAGGCACCAATCCTGGAGGTATTTAAAAGACATGTAGATGTGTCACTTGGGGATGTGGTTTAGTGGTGGGCTTGGCAGTGCTGGGTTAATGGTTGTACTCGATGATCTTAAAAGTCTTTTTCAACCTAAATTCTATGATTCTATGATTGTGTACATCCAACAAGGAGAGCATCAATTTGTTTTACAGTCAAAGCAGCAATCTAGCTCTGAGAGCCTCACATCCTAGCAGTTACTATTATGGCCATTTCTTCACACTGTTCCTCTGCCCCATCCCTCCCAAATAGAATAAAACTGGTTTTGCAGAAAACAGACTTGAATCTTGCCCAGCAGCTTTGTTTTCTAGAGCACTGAATGGGACATCTGATTGTAGACAGCTCTTTAAGCCAGCAGGCTGGCATGCAGCAGCAGCAGCTGAAGGTAGCTAATTGCAGATCAGATATGGGAAACAGATAACCAGAGTAACTAACCAGCTGAACAGCAGCTGTAGTGGGTCCTCCAGTGCTGAGGTTTCTAAATCTAAAGCAGATTATCTTTCTAAGAGGACCACACTAGTGTCACTTTAGGTCTTTGAAAGGTTTCAGTAACAGTATGGCTTGCAATATGTGATCCTCCTGGCTGGACACACACAATGCTTATTTTTAGTCTTTGATTATGAATGTCTTGCACATGCTCTGCTAACAAGAACTGTCCCTAATCGAGATGGTATCTTGCTGCTGTATGCTGTATAGTCAGCTTTAAAATGAGCATGGTTCTCACTTGCACTAAAAAACCTCCTGCAGAAACTCCACAAAACTGATGCTGCTTATTAAGGCACAATAAACAGATAAAACAAAAGTGTCCTAGTGTAACAAATCTTGTTCCTCAAACCTGAGGCACAGTCTGCAAATCCCACTAGCTTAGTGTGTGAAATTTAGAGCTCAAGGATAACACCAGGTTTTGTTGTTGATTGTAGCTGTGTTGGCCATCTCGGAGAGACTGGAGGAAATATATTGCATAGAGGTGCTGAAGCAAGTGCATGCCCCTAAAGATTTAACTGTAGTTTGGTAAATCACTTTTTAAGTAAATCCCTGAAGAGCAAGAAACCAATTGCACTGTTAAAAGTCTTGTATTATAAAACCGAAGGAGTGAGAGAACTGTACCTGCACAGGTTAATCTTCAGCTCAGAATTTAAATGGACTCATTAAAATCAACTTACAAATTAGCTTATTAAAATGCAATGCTGCAGATCCAGAAGTTGGTTGATCTGGCGTGCCACTTGTATGAAAAAGTGACTTAAGAAGTAGAGAACAAATTTATAGTATTAAAACTCCATCTTTCTTTGCAGTTCCATAGACCCTCATCTCAACCTCCTTCTTCCTTGAACTCTGAATCAACAGGACATTTTATTTAGTGAATTAAGCTTGTTTCATCCTGTGCTACAAGTGCTGTGTAATATCAGTAGCCCCTTGTAATGAAATGTATGTCTGTACACATTTGTGCCCTCCCACATGCATAGGAGCTCCATAATTGAGCCCTAGCACCATGGGTCACAGCAATGATCATTTTATTACCTTGATAATGAGATTCTACAAGCTGCTGGCTGTAGTGGGTTTTATTTCTTAGTGGTTAAATTCTAGATAATCACACTACTACTGCCATTAAAGTAATGGTATTGTTTAGAGTGAGGAGGGAAAAAAGACTCAAACGAGTTCTGATATAATTATGTAGACCCTTCAGAATATCTTTATATAACTACAGATGCCAGTAATTAAAACTAGCCTTCCTGTTACAGCTTTTCAATTGGTTCTTACATATCCCAGAGGCACATAGTAGGCAGTACAGAAAATAAAAATACAAAGGATTTACATTCCAGCTATATATTCTGCGATAAGATATATATGTGTGTGTACATATATACAGAGAGAATAACTTCAAGTACAAAACCAGTTAATTGCTAAATTTTAAGCCAGTCTTACTGAATGTCCTATGCACACCAAAAGATGCTTACAGAAAAGATAATTGAAAAATTCCTCACTCTAATTTTCAGCATTCCAGAGTCAGAAGGAATTACTCAAACTGTTGTGTCACATGTTTTAAGGACCAGATGCATACAGAGGCCACCATGTGAAATGCTGTTCTGCCCTTAGAGGAATTGTTTTCAGTGTTCAAAAGGGATAGTGGCTGACAGGCCAATGTATTGGCACGGGTGTTACCTGGAGACACTTCACCAGCCTTTTTTTAGATGCTGTGGGGATTTTGAGCTGGCTTGTCTGTCACTTTGGGCTTGTATCCATCTGAAAAGCACCATGCTGACTCACTGACTCCACTTCTGCTCAGGAAAACTGTCCCTTTGCCATGGGAAAGGGTATGTGGGCATGAAAGTCATGTAAACAAAGCAAGGGTGCAAACCTTATTTCCGCTGGACAGAAAGGTGAGACTTTAACCTTGCAGTGACTCACAATAAAAACATAGTTTTTCCTTCGAAGACAAAGCCTGCAAGCCTGTGTGTGATGTTCTTTTCCTGCCTCCCTGCCTTCTAATTTATTCTTTTTTTGCCACCAGGCAATAGTTTTGCCTGGCCTAAAGGTGTGAAAAGAAGCTAAGATGGGGCAAAAAAAAAGGCACTGAAATACATTGTAACCAGAAAGTGTAAACTGGTGCTTTTATGTTGTCTTTGCTTGATGATAAAATGGAAAAGACAACTAAAAAACCAAGATTGCAGAATGCAGTTTTCCCTCAAGGATGAGTTAAACTGGAGTGGGTGGAATTATACTCAGGTGAAACTATCGCAGATCCATGTGGAAACTTAACCTATCACCTAACCACAAATAAATAGTGTTGGGCCAGTGACTGCAGACTTGGTGAGTGATTTGGTCAGGTGCTAATCTGGGTTCTGGAGGTGTAAACCTAATAACAGCAGCTTGCTGAAGGGGACAGTGGGAAAGAATGGTACCTTCCCCATGTTCCCAAAAACCCAACAAAACAAACAAAAAGTCACCTGATTATGAAATCTAGGCTTTTCCCTCAAGCCAGTTTCTTTCTATTCAGCAAATAGCATTTGGAAATTTACTGTAAGTCTTAGGCAAGAACTGAAATCCCTCACTATCATCACTGGCCACATGAACAATATTTGGAGAATATTACTCACTATAGTTACTTAAGGCTAAACAGGGAGTTCTTGAGATTTTCTGTGTAGAACTCACCTAGGCTACAGAAGCAATGTTGGCTTGTAGAAGGGCTTATGTGCCCCAAAGTTGATAATTCCCCCTATATTAACTGATCTAGTAAAAAGTACTTTCTTGTCCCACAAACTGTAGCTCATTTGGGGCTGACAGCTGTTTTTTCTCAAAGCAATACTGACACTGAGTGGTGTGTTTTACTTAACTGTAGGAAAACAAAGCTATTCCAGGCATGTCCTTGTGTCTGACCTGACTGAGGTAGTCTTCTTGTGTCATCCCAATTGCTTGTTTTAAAATGAGCTTTTGTGAATGGCTGTCCAGTGGCTGTTTGATGATTTGGATGGCCAAAACATAAAGAATTATGCTGATAAAGAGCAAGAACTTAGAGACAGAAAGCAACAGGTGGAACATGAAATTAGGAGAGAAATCTTCTTTGCCCTGTACCTTGTCCACAGTGGGTGTGAAGTCTGAAGAGCATTAGATATCTGCTTTGTGACTTAGCAAGTGAGTTTTTTTAAGGTGCAAGGCAATGAAGGACTGTGCCCAAAATGTACAACTGCTGTGTTTTCATGTTGTGGTCAAGACTTGCTGATTCCTATGCAAGACTGTTCAGAGATCTTATTATTGCTAGTAAAACCAGTGGGTTTAGAGCTGCTGGTTTTTTTGCTTAAATTGGAATGTTCAGGTGACAGCAATTTCTAAAAGCTTCACCCTATTATTTGATGTAATGCCAGCTGGAAGGCCTTGGTTTTCTCCACGTAATTTTGTGAAGCAGCAGGTCTTTCCAATAATTATCTTTGCTCTATTTCCATCAAATACAGCTTGAAACTGGCTCAGTAAAACAGAGAACGTGGAGCGGTAGCTCTCATCTCAGAGCCAGTAGTGTAGACCAGACATCTGGTGTTAGGGTTATCTCTCTCTTCAAATGTTTTTATACTACTGGAAGAGGTGCTTTGTTTCTGCAGCTTATAAACATGCACCAGGCACCGCTTCCAGGACCAGAAATTCTGTCCATATTTGAGAGAACAGGGATACTGGGCTTGCTGTCAGGTTTGGATGCTTTCAGTAATATCTGCACTCACTAGTAACATGGATATTGCTGTTCTTACTTGTTCATAGAGTTCATTGAGGAGAATAAAACCAGAGGGGATTGATCTTTCTAAACCTCACCACCTTGATTGATCCAGACACTCAAGAGGCAGGGTGTCTTTGCTGTCATAAACCCAGAAAATCGGTGCAACTTCATATTAAAAGAAGGCATTGAAATTTATGAGAGCAGCTAGGGAAGCAACCGAGAAGAACTGGTTTGGGGAGCTGCCAGCCAGCACCTCAAGTGACTGATCTGACTAACAGAGTCCATCAGTTTCCCATGTATTTTAGTGCTCCTAGCTCAGCTTTCACAGTCATTTTTAAGGCAATAATTGTTCTAGCAAAATCCGCAATACAGTTTAACTGCTACTGTCTGAACTAGTTTCATGGTCATCCATTTTCTAAAGTCACCAAATTTTATTTTTTATTCACAACACAATTATACCAAAACATACATCTATTTAAGAAAAAGAAACACCTTTATGGAAACGTTGACAGTGCTTTGAAATCCTCCATCACAGCTGGGGCTGTCAGACATTGCTGGAGGTCTCCCCACTTGAATATTCCCCTGTTGCACTGGGCAGAACAAATTTGACATATCTCCCCTTCTCCCAGCCCCTCCTGATTCGCAGAAGTCTGTGTCGGATGCAGGGCAGACTGAAGATGACCTTTGCAATGATGACAGTACATGGGACGAGCAGCGTGAGGGTGTAGGTGGGAGGCAGGTAGAATTTGTACTGGTTCTCATCAAAGGCCCTCGACCATCCGTAGGTGAGCGTGTGCAGAGTGCTGACCACCAAGGCAATAAATCCAAGGCTGGACTAAAAGGAACAGAAACACACAACAGTTAGCAGAAGACCTTGTGCCTGGCTATTTTCCTGTATTTTTTACATCATTTTGTAAGTGTACATAGCACAGAGAAAGCAATGAATATTCCTGTGTTTCTTGGACAGAATAAAACATGAATGGAAACCTTTCCTGGGTAGAGTGCCAGACTGCATTTTTCTTTTTCTAATCAGAGGTTAAGTGTGATATTAGGAACTCAGCAGGAGTTTCCTGGAAGATGCTGCCAACTCAGCAGAGATGTGGGCTCCTACATCCATGTGAAGCAGCAGCCCCCAGCTCCTGCTGAGCAGGTGGGCACAGGCAGCTCCCAAATGCTCCTTCCAAGCTGCAGCTGCCAACTCTGCTGCCTCCCAGTCCATGGCTGGTGAGAGGGATGAAGCATCAGCATCGTGGCTCTGGACCCACAGCTGGCACTGTTGGAAATCTGTGAAGCTGTGGCTTCGCACAGAGTGAAGACACTGTCAGGTAACTGGTATCACCTACAGGAAAATGAGATTGTGGAGACACAAGTGCTCTGTTCTGAGGTGAGCAACAGCCCTGAAGGATTTCCTTCTCTGTCCTAGAGATCTGTGTTTGTTCATGAGCCAGACCATCAGGCTGTGTGGTAGACTAAGCCTTTGAAATGGAGAGCCAAGAGCTCTTTAGCCACTCAGGGAGGCAGCAAGAAACCAACCCCTGTTCTGCAGACAAGAACTTCCCCCATTTTCAGCTGAGATCATGCTCCTGAGCACCCATAGAGACAACATTTCTCCTGGATATTTCCAGCTCCCTCTGAGGGTTGCTCTCAAAGAGGGGTTTTAAACTGTGTTTCCCTCATCTGTGGCTTCCTGCCGGCATCAGAGATGGAGGCTCCCAAGCTTTGCTGCTGATGTTCCTAACTTAGGGAATGAAGCCTTTACAAGCCAAAATATCTGTCTTGGTGCAGCTAATCAGAAATCAGCAAGAAACAGGGTCTTCCTGAAGATATGTCCAGGAAAGAGGGCACAGCAGGGAAATAAGGGACCAGGGCAAGATGGGAGAAAGGATTCATGTTTTCTTTTAAAAAAACAGTCTCATCTGGAAAACTACTCAATTCAAACCTTCCCCTCCTATTTTTGATTGCTGGGAAACTATTAAAAAACCCAGATGACTTTTAAAAATGTACCATGTTGTTACCAAAAAACTAGACCAAGACTCCTCTAAACTTCAGAGCTAATCATTTAAGCAGCTAAGAAGACTGGGCAAGGAAGGGAAGGACAGCTCTAAAATGTGCTACCAGATCTCGGTACTTCATTTTTACAGCATCTGTCAGGCAGTCATGTGAGTGTCACTGAGTCCTGCCAAGATTTCACCTATATGACCCCCGCCAAAGTAAGGAACTCCTTCTGTGTTACAGCTGAGCATTACTCAAGGTCATGCCAGGAGCTGGGAACAGTTCTGTAAACTGAACCTCAGCCCTGCGTGCAAACTCACATTTTTCCTTTCTTTCAGGGACAGATGTCATTCTTACCAGAAGCCATGTCCAAGTCCAAACCAAAGTGGTAACAAGCAGCAAACCTGAACAAGGGCAAGACTAGTTGCACTTGGAAAATTAAGGAGTTTGCTGCAACATGCCATGGTCACAGCTGAACCTAACAGCAGGACCTGACCCACAGATCATTCATCATTTATTGGTTGAGCTTCTCTCCAACAGGAAAAAAACCCGCTGGGTGGCAAAAGGTTGGAAGTATCAGCTTGGGACTCATCTGGCAGAGCAGAGATGTAAAGCAGGGCAGGGGAAAGGGGACAGAGTGAAGTCCAAGGGCAGCAGATGCTTTCTGCCCTGGGCAGAGGAAGTGTTCAGAGTCAGCCTGAGCAGGGTTCTATGCATGGCAGAGGTGCCAGAACTGGAGATAATTAGTTTGTTCCTCTACAATTTCTCTTTCAACTGTTGATAGTACTGGGGGAGAGCAGGAGTGGAAATTAGTAGGACAAAAGGTGACAAACCATCACAGGCCCTTTGTAACCCACCTTTGTGTGTGAATGGCAGGGCACATGAAACAAAAAGCTAATTGGCAAAAAAAGAATGGCTAAGCTGCTGGTGGCTGGCAGCTCCTCTGACAGCAGCAATGGGCTGATCTGCTCGTAACACAAATGAGAGGCTGATTGGTGAGAGCAGGGAGTGCCTGGGATTTGTGGTGTAGAGCCCCATGGCTGCACCCGCCAGACAAGCTGACAGCTGGGTACAGGTTGGTCTGTAAGTGCAGAAAAAACAAAAGTTCTGCTGATTGCAGCTTGGTTCAGTATGTACAGCTCTGCATACATTCAGTATAGTATGATGCAGAGCCTGCTGAGCACCCCATGGGGCTGATTTGCCAGCAGGATTAGCCCAGATACCACACAGAGTTTTGAGTCTCTGCTCTCCTTTATCCTCTCTATGCAGTTTCTGACTATGAAACCTTTCTGTTTTAAACAGGCAGAGGTTTCTTTTGCACTGTCACAACATGGGGAATGTGGGGCCAGTACCCTCATAAAGTGTTAAAGCCCTCTGAAAGATGCTGCATGAAGTTGTTATCTTACTAATGCAGCCTTTGTGTATATTTTCTATTTCCTTGGTGTCTGTGACCTCCCCGTAATGCATCAGTGAAGCTGATCCAGCCACACATGGCTCATTTGGTGGGCAGCACCAAAAGCAAACAGCCCCTTCCTGACCCAGATATGTTCCTGACTTCTGCAGCCATGAAGTCATTAGCTCCATGGAAGTGGCTCTGGCCTCTCGCACTTTGTCGACAGGAGGGTTAGAAAAGGTCTGGTTACGGATTCTTTACATCTTGTGCTACATGAACTATGAAAGAAACCAGGTCATTTCAACCTTCAAATTCCAGGAGGACTTTTCAGGATGGGAAGGTAAAGGCAATTATACACATTTTTACTTCTCAACCAATTAGAGTTGATTTGTAAATCACTGGGGAACATTAAAAATGTCTCCTATAAGTTGAATTACACACAAATCATTCCTGCTATCCAGTGTCTATATCCTGTTAATCAAAACTGGACACATAGGGGAACTGTGTATCCAATTTAACCACATTTAATTGAAATTTGTGTATGTGCAGGAGCTACTATGAAAATTAGCTTTTTTCTATAGCCTTGGCAACAACACAAACAGGATTTTCATCCCATCAGGCAACAGATGTATATTTTAAGACTGTGGCAGTATATCTCATGACACTAATACAGATGTAAACACTGGAAAATGTCAGACTTGTGATGCTCTGGATAAGGAGGAGACTAAAGTGGCTCCTGAATTTGTCTCACATGTGGCTTTTGGTACAGCATCTCTCAAACATCATCTATTTAAACTGAGATGGTAACAAATTGATGCATTTTCTGGAAGACATCTGGCTGGGATGTCTGTGCTCTGCATTTCTCCTCTTTCATGCTGTAAAAATGTTAAAAAACCCAAATATTTGAGAAAGCAGCCTCATGCTTCACCCCTTGTATTTACATTGTGCCACTGTGCATTAATTCAGGGAGGCTCACACTGAGCTGTGTGAATGTAACCTCTGGAGCCTGGGAGCATAGCTGTAGCGGCTCTTTTAATTTCCTCAAGAAAGGCATCACCAACCTATTGAGGAGTAAATAATTTAAAACAACCCTCATTAAAAAAATAAATATGGAAGGTAACATGCCAAGAGACCTGTAACCTGCTCTTTTTACATGGTATTTCCACAGCAGGGCTCAATACCAGCTGTGCCTCTCTTGCATGTGATCAGCTCATGTCACACTGTCATGCTTTATTCCATGCAGACAGAAATAGGTGTATCTTTCCACGAACTAAGCCAGCCAGTTCCCATGTGGGGCAGCCAAGAGCTATTTTGGAACCAACCATCATGTATTTGTCTGGTCCCAGTGCTGACATACCCTTAGAAAGACACGGGAAGGGCTCCCAAAGGGCAGATGCGACAGTCGTGTTGCAGTGGTGGGACATGGCAGCACTACCTGCAGTGACAACATATATATTACATGACACAATGCCAGCACTCTCCAGGACAGCTGCCAGGCTGCCTGGGGAGCCAAAGGGAAATGCAGCGGGTTTCAAAGCCTCCTTCCAGGCTGCAAGAAGATACTTCCCTTCATTTAGGATTCCTGGTATGAGATGCCTAAGTCAGTATCAATTTATCCAACGTCCCAGCAGCTGCAGCCCTCCCCTGGGACATGGTGGTGAGAATTAATATGCACCCATTGTTCAATCTGAAGGAGAGGTTTAAAGCCAGGTCTCTCTTCTCCTCAGGGGATGATCTCTTGGGGTCAAGCTCTCCTGGTGCAGCTCTTCTACTCATTGTAAATAATTTCTGGCTAGCCCATAGCAAGAGAGGAAAAAAGACAAACTGACTTGGCCGTTGTTGGTCGGGGCACTTGTGGGGGAAGCAGGGGAGCAGACTTCAAACTCCTGCTCCAATGAATATTGAATTATTTATGTACCACTGAAGAGCTTCAACAGAGCTTAACAGAGGCTGGATGATAAGATATTCACCTTTGCATCCATGAACCCTGCCCTCCCCTTTGGAAGGGTTAGGTGTGCACCAGCGTGGAGCACAGGGAGACTGCAGGGGAGGAGCAGGAGTCCTATGGGGGCTCATGCATGTTGGGGTGCCACGTGGGTCACTGCAGTGGGACATGAAGCCTGGTGCATGCTAAAAAGCAGTGGTGCAGGAGGCACAAGTAACAAGGGGGTTTAGGGCTGTGGGATACGACTGTGAAACAGTGAGTGGAATCTGGCCTCAAAATCAGATCTAATGTGCAGAGGATACTTGGAAGGTTCATTCCCTGCTATCCTCGTTAGTTAGCCCTAAGCCTGGCTCCAAGCACATTCCTGAGAAGGCAGCAGCTCCCGAGTTTGGGGTCTGTGAATGTCCCATGGAGTAGATTCAGGTCACTAAAGGAATTTGACTCTCAGGAGCATTGGGCATTGGTGCAAGCAGGAAGACGGCTCCTAGACCACTCATTGACTCTGGAGAAAGAAAAAACTTACCTTCCTAATTCAGTTTTTAGAATCAGACAGGGACTTTTCATTGGCGTCATACCCAGTTCTCTGTGCTGCTTGAGCTCTGGCACTTTATAGACCAGTCTAAGCCTTTTCGAACTTATCTGCTGAATATTTGGGTGCATGCAAGCTCTGCCAAACCTGTCTTTCCCTTGCACTGTCCTCTTAGGCACTTTCCTTTTCAGAAGCTCATTCTCCCTGAAATGCAAGGGCAGATCTGTGGCCTGCAGCCAGCTGCCTCCATAGTGGGCTACCTCCCTGCCCTCTACAGCCTGGTGCAAACTCCCTGCAGCAGCCCTGCTGCCGCTGATCCTCATGTGTCATGCCACTGACACGTTGCATTTCCCCTTCCCCCTGAGAGAAGCACCTTTTGTGGACAGGGCAAACTCCTGTGTGAGAGCAGCACGGACCCCAAGACACATTATAGCCCTCTACCCTCTGACCCCTCTTGGTGTCACCTCCTGGACAAGGGATCCATGGCTCTGGGGTGCACGGGGAGCTGTGGCATAGCAGGATTTGCTGCTGACACCACTGCACAGCTTGCAGTGCTGGAGCAGGGATGGGCTGGGACAGCAGGTCAAACCCTGCCCTCCTTGGCCTGTGTGAGGACCTGACTCTGCAGAATCACTCTCTAGCATCGGCAAATGTCAACTTTACCTGAATGAAACTGAATTCCCTCCAGTTGAGAGAGTTTGCGATGGATGGAAGTGAAGTGATGGCAAGTAACGACAGCAAGCCCAGGGCAATAATTCCAACAGAGATATAAATCTCCATTCTCCAGACTTCCTCCTCTACCCAGATATTCATCTTCTTCTCCACAGCCTGGCATGACAATGAAGGTTTGTTAAAATGGAGCACTTAGGAACAGAGGAACTGAATTTTGTTTGGTTTGGTTTTGGAAGCAGCTTTCCTGGGTGAGCATTGGTCCTATTCATACCTCCAGCACTATTTGCCTGTTTGGGAGATGTGGAAATGCTCCCTTATCCCACCACCATTTGGCCAAAGCTAGACTTGATTTGAAGCCTGCTGGGAAGAACTGCTGAATGCTCTCAGCTCCCATGCCCATAACCACAGCAGCAAGCCCCAAAGTCACATTCGGAAAGATAATTACAATGAGAAGTTAGTTTAAAGATGAGAAAACAAATACAGATGCTTGAATATGCAGTACTCTCCTAATAACCTTTGTTTTAAGTGCATTTAGGGGGGAAATTGTTCATGCTAATGGAAGGGAAGATGGGTTTTATACTGCATGGCAAAGAGGAACATTTAGAACTGTCCTCTTTAGCCCATTAAATGGGTTTAATATACTAAACAAAGATGTTGCTAGAAAACAGGAGGCAGAGGGGAAATGAACACAGGATGCTTGCCTGAGATTAATGTGCAACTGTGGCAATTGAGAAGGACCTGCTCAAGGCTGGAGCTGAGAGGCTGGGGATGGTGTTTGATTGATGTTCTGAAGAGGCACTGCTGCTGAAACCAGCCATCCTGCTCCCCTCTGCCCCCACAGCCCCTTCCCTCCTCTGTGTTGGGATACACATTTGGAATCACTTGTGCAAATACCCCAGTGCAGAAAGCACTGGTTGTGAGGTAGTTCCTTCATCAGGTTCCCCACTCAGCTGCACAAAGCCTGTGCCATCCCGGGAGGGAGTAGGGTGGAGCACTAAGAAGTTAGGGGCACAAAAGAGGGAAATTACATTCTCCCGTGGCACTGCTGAGCTATAGAGCTGGCTGAACGGCCTGAAGGCAGCAATCTCACACTGGATAAACAATGCCGAGAGACTCAATGAGGCAATAAAGTCCCTTTTCATTTACTCCTCTTAGACTATGACCAGCTCCTCACCACTATTTTGTTAAGCTCCTGGAGGCACATTGTGATAAGGACACACAACCTGCCCTGGGTTATGACTTGGTCACTCCAGCAGAACATACTGTGAACATCAGTATGAACAAACAGGGATATCCCAAAATCTAGAGAGAAAAGCTGAGGGAAACTCTGCTCTCTCCCCCACTGGATTTCTCCTCTCCTGGCATTTTTCCTGCCTCTGCCTTAGTCTCACATATGCCAGGTGCCAGGCAAGGCTGGTTTCAAAGGCTTCTCTGTGCTCCTGGGGAGCAATGGCACGGGGCTCCTAGGCTTGGCTGTAAGTGCACAGGGAACACCCTCTGAGGGGGTGGGTGGGTGGGTGCCCAGTGTGTGGTGTGTGACTGACCTACAGGGAAAGGACTCCTATACGTAACAGCTTATTCCCACTGTCCCACACCTGCTTTGGAAAGTGAGTGAAAAAAAGCCAAGGTATTAAGCCTGCCACCCAACACCTGGATGTAGATTATTCCGGGTACTGACTTAAGGAGCACCCACATTACCTGCTTGACGGCCGTCTCGATTAACAGGTACCGGTGGGAGCGGCGCATGGGCAGGCAGAGGCTGTACACGGCATGCAGGGCTGCACAGAAGAAGCTGAGGAGACCGATCTGCTTTCGGTGCTGGAGCCACTGGTCGAGCCAGTCTGGAAAGCGCCTGTATTTGGTGCCATAGTAGAGCTGCGAGCAGGCTGCCAGCACCCCAGGCAGGTAGACGAGGGACAGCAAGACGTAGGACACGCAAGGCAGCGTCGTGTTGACCACCTCGATGGGGATCTTGTACAGCTTGTTCTTCTGCTCCCTGATAAAAGGATGGATGACCTGCCGGATCAGGTTGTAAGTGAAGAAGCAAAGAAAAAGCCCTAGAGCCAAAAAGGTGGGGATTTTCCAGGCTGGCAAGAGGCGCAGGGGAATGTTCTCGATCTCGCAGGCTGACGACATGCAGCCCATGTCCACAGGGGTGAATCCCATGACTTGAGCAATTTCTGCTACAGTGCGCTTGGCTTCTTGGTTATTTGAGCAAATCAGAACCTGCAACAAACAGAAATATACATATAGGAAAAGGAGATCAGGCTTCTGGGATCGAGTGCATCAGGAGGGATACTGTATTACAGGGAGCCTACATTATTCCACTGAGCATCATGATTCCTGGCAGGCTTTTTGACAGGGATTTACCACAACTGCCAAAGACCTCTCTCCTGGATAGGTTTCCTTTCATGTGTGCACTGCCAGTTTTTTTTACTGGCTCTATTTAGATAAACAGACAATTAAACAATACTTTTCACTTAGGCAGATGCTTCAAAGACTACAAAGCCTGAAGTGAGTGAGGGTACTTCATTTCTGAGCAAAGAAACACAGAAGCTATGGGGTGGATGCCATGGCCAGCACTCAGAGTCCTCCAGGAGCCTAAGGCCATTTGGTGATGCTGCCAGACCTCAGCTGCTGAAGCAGTTGTGATTTAGCCCTTGTTGGAAGAAAACAATACCTGCTTGTTTCCATCCCTGGCACCTGACTGCAGCGTCCATGCAGAAACCACGTTAAACCCCTTGACCACAGTGCAGGCTGGGAACAGGGAAGCCAAGTACTCTGCGTTGGACTCCTTGTGATGGTTGATCTCGGTGTTGTTACTGACGTCCACCAGGATCTTGCCCGCCAGCACATCAGCCAGGTCACAGAGGGTGGAATAATGTTCCCTGAAAACCGCCACAAAAATGACGTCCGTCTTCTTCACCGCCTCAGCCTGGAAGGTGACCTCTGCCGCGGAAGGGAAGAGGCTGGCTTTCCGCTTCGGGTTGCGGCTGCCGACCACCACCTTGAAGCCGGAGCACACCAGGCGGATGGCCAAGGACCGCGCGAAGTCCCCGCTCCCCAGCACCCCGATGGTGCGGCCGGACGTGGGCGTCACGCCAGGGTCACCCTCCGTGCTCCCATGGCCCAGGAGGGGCTTGGCCATGTCTCCTCTGGACATCCTGGCAGGAAAACCAAGGAGAAATACCAACTCACTGTGGAGCTCTTGAAGAGGCCCAGATCACACCTGCAGTCATGGGGAAAAGTGCCACTTAGGCCACTTGAACAGGTGAATGTGGTTTTAGTCCCAGTGGCCCAGGACCCATCTGCCAAACCCGCCAGCAAGCGTGCAGTAATGTACAAGCACCATTGGAGGGGGACACAATACCATGCTAGGTTGGAAGGCGAAGGCTTTTAGGGAGGTTTCCCAGGTCTGTGTGATCCAACACCTGCTGGATGCACTCATCCATCCTCTGCTGTTCCTCATGCTGCCATCTCACACTGCAAAGCCAGGGCAATGCTACGAGTGACCGGGATCAGCAGCTCTCAGATACCCATGTGGCTACCAGGCATCTCCTGAAAAGTCCTGGTCCAGGGGTCTAAAGGGATCCCTGAGCCTACACTTGGAAAAGCCAGAGCGGTGGGTGCTTCTGATTTGCAGGAGCAGAATCAATGCAGGGAGTTGAAGTTGAATAGAAAGTGTTCTAAAAGTGATAAACGAAGAGAGCTGCAGCCTTTGCCTATTTGAATATTTGAGTCTGGCAAGCGCTGTTTGCTTCAGCTCTTTAATGAGTAATGAGAACTTACTTGTGACATTTAAAAAATATATTAAAACATGATGAGATTTGCTCATGAAAGATCTTGATGAGCTTTACAAACGTTAATGAATCTTGCCCTGTAACAGATTAGATATTGAGGGCATGGAGAGGTTTTAAGCAGATCAATAAATTCCCAGGCAGCACAGCAGCTAGACCTGGAGGTCAGAAGAAACTTGGGCAGGGAACTGCCAGACTGCTCTCAGTCTGTGCCTGTGGCTCAAATCTGCCTCCCAACTGAAGGAACAGCAAATTTACCCTTAAGGAATGGCAAATTCCTGGAGGTCAGATTTTTAAAGGGCTCAGAAGGTGGCTCAGGGAACTTACAAACCAGGACATCTGGCTTTTGTACTAGGCACACTGCTAGAGATTATAATAAAGACCATCATTAACAAACATGTGATATACTGGGGAGGGAGACAACTTGGCTTTGGAGTGCCCTGTAGCTGGTCAAGTTCTTTCAAAGTGAAGGTGACCACTCGGTTGGGGTGACCTGGTCCCTGGCACAGAGGTGTTTTTCATAGGCATTTGGAAATATCCTTTGCCCAAGGCTTTTCTGGGATTGGTTCAGTAGTGGTGCAAAGGGGAAGGGCACTTCTGCATGAATAGTTACCAATGGGAAACAAAGGGTGAGAAGAAATAAATGATTTTCATAATGGGAATAGGTTGTCAAGGGATTTCCCTGAGGATTTGTGCTGTTCAACATGCTCATAAGTGATCTGGGAAAGGGAGTGAATATTGAGAAGATAGAGCTTGTGCGTGATGATCATAGAATCATAGAATGGGTTGGGTTGGAAGAGACCTTAAAGATCATCTTGTTCCAACCCCCTGCTATGGGCAGGGACACCTTCCACTAGACCAGGCTACTCAGAGCCCCATCCAGCCTGGCTGTGAACACCTCCAGGGATGGGGAGTCCACAAGATCTCTGGGCAACACGTGCCAGTGTCTCACCACCCTTATAGTAAAGAATTTCTTCATAATATCTAACCTAAATCATTTAAAACAGTCGGTCTATTGTGAAGAATCTGCAGAAGGACCTCGTCATTCCAAGTGCCTGAGCACCAAAATTCGCTACTGATACATGCCAAGAACTGCCTATGGGCATAATCCCCCATAGCATACATACACTTTAATGAGCTGTAGTCTTATTAGAAACACCCAGAAAAATGATCAGTGTCACATGACTCTGAAAATACCAACTTGGTGGTCCCTGGCAGACACACATCAAACACAGCCGAGTTACTGAGGGAGTTACTCTCACACAGCAACCACAATCTCAGTCCTGTTCCTCATCGAAAGCCTGCAAAACACCTTCAGCAGGTGGACTTTGAAACTGTAATTCACTGTCCTGGATACAAAACCACCACAGCTTCAGAGACAATACTGTTTCTATGGCAGAGGTCTGTCTGCTCTCCCTGCCTCTCACCAAGCAAGGCTGATTTGGTGATGCTGGCTGTGTCAGTGATTAACCCAGGCTGCTGCCTGTGCACACACCCCTGCCTTAGGTGTATTCCATGTGTATCACAGTCACTAGGAAGTTTCACCAGGAATTAGTGGGAAAGGCATACAAAACAGTGAGATAACACGACTACACCACTCTATAAATCCATAGACTGAACAGCACACTGCAGTTCTGCTCATTCCACTGAAAAAAAAAAAAGGAATAAACCTAAGAAAGGACCATAGGGAAAGAGTGAGAGAGATGATGAGAGCTTTCAGTTTGGAAAAGAAACACATGGTTGAGGAGGGAGCAGGGACCATTTGAGACTTCTGGAGATGAGGAGCGACCTCACAAGTCAACAGGAAACCCCTTGTGTAAAGGAAAGCAGCTCTATCTGAAAAGATGGTGTCTGTGTTTTTTTTTCCCTGGTCCCTTCTTATCAGATGCTTTATCAAACACTCACTGCCTTACCTTTTAGAAACCTTCTGGCTCCACTTAAATTTATTCATGGCCAGAACTGTTTGTTCTAGGGCCAATGCTATTGTTTAGCATAATGAGCTTGCTTTCCTGCACCCCCCCTCCTTTTTCACCACCTGTACTCAAAAATATTATCCCAAAATAAAGAAACACATCTCTGCCTCTCAGCCAAGGGGAGAGAAATCAGCATTCAGAGTGGCAAAGCGATTGTTACCCACAGACTCATTTCATAATTGCTTTAAGGCACCTCAAAAGCTCTCTCTGTGCTCCCACTGGGATGTAAATTTTGCTGCAAGCAAATTTTCTTGTAGTATGTTTTCTCTGTCCTGTAGCTGCCACTGAACATGTATAGAGATGTTGGCAATGTTTGGAGATAAACAGCTTTGCTGTCTCCAGTTATTTTGATTAAAAGGGATGACATAATTAAATGGCCTTTGAAGTCAGCAGGGCACTTAAAAAGTAAGAAGATGCAAAATCTCTTCTGTGGATTTTGGTGCGATTATTTCAGTCATGCTCTGACTTTGGGGCTTTGGAGCAGGACCCATCCCTGCTGCACAGCCCTTGCATCCCTGCTGCACAGTGGTCCCTGCCGCTGGCTGCTGCTTACCCCCGTGGGCTGCATTGCTGTCACTGCCATGTGCTGAAATCCTCCCAAGGAAAGGAAGAGAAAATCCCTCTTTCACCATAAACACATTTCACTGAGACAAACACTGTGGTTTCTGCCTAACAGATGCCTGGCAATGAACTGTCTGATTAGGCAACAGCTTTTTTTCACTTCTGTATCTCTGCAGAGCATGCAGACCCCCATCTCCTGCCACCGCCCTGAGTTACCGTGTCCACACTTCTTTTTCTGCACCTATGGACAATGGGTTACCTGTTTAAAACTCTCCCTGCCAAAGCTAATTCTCCAGGGCAAGGTCAACCCATCCAAAGCCAGTTCAAGATCAGTTTCTTACCAAGGAAGGTACAAAATGATTTAAAGCACAGCCCAGTGGAAGTAAACTAACTTCAATCCTAACTGCGCAGCAGTTCCATAACTAAAATATTGAATGCAATACAGAGCTGCCCTTGAGCTAGACTGTTAATTGACAGCCTTATATCACTGTGTGGGGATGGTCTGTCCAGCTGTAGCACACTTGTTCCCATGTGCAGTTCACCAACTGCATTGCAATTACTGCTATTATTTGTAGGAGAAGAGTAATGATGGGCAGTGAGCAAGACAGGGATCTCCCCTCTGCTAGGCACCCTAAAAAACTGGCCAGAAGGCCACTTCTGCCCCAAAGAATGGGATCAGACAGAGAGAAGCTGAGTGAAATGAAGCAGTCAAATCGCTGTTGCCCAGGCAGAGGGAGGGAGGGGTTCTCACAGAAGAAAAACAGGGATAATTCTACATATTTTGCACCTGAGGCTTGGCAGAGGCTGTTAGCTTAGGCTCAGTGCCAGGCAAACAAGATTTTTCTGCCTCTCTGCCCACACTGAGAGGCCTCATGCAAGTTTTGCAGCAGGACAGACTTTCTGGATGGAGCTGGGCTGCAGGAGCCCACTCAGGTGGCTCTGGGCTCACAGCAGTCAATCTGCCAAGCAGATCATCCCCCACAGCTAATGAGGAGCCAGCTCATTGGTTATCCTCTTTCAACAGACGTGGAGGACTAAGATACTAACAATGATGAGACTCCAGCAAGTTTGTCTGGGACGACCCAGATATCTTCGACCATGTCTTTAACAATGAGACCATCTTTCTGGGCCCCTCTCACATCCTCTGGTGCAGCAGGATAGCTGGTTCCTGTAATCTGCAGTCTGGAAGTGTTTGAGTTGTACACTCTGAAGAAGGATGGATCTCGAACAGCAAAGCATGAGCTTCGCTTCAGTTCTGGACAAAAAAACTAAGACTCATTTCACTGCCCTGCTATTCAGATTTATCAGATAAAAGACAAGTTAGTTTTACAATAACTCTAATAAAAAGGCAGTGCCTTAAACTTATCACTGAGTGAAATTCTGCTGAAGAACATGGCAGCAATCTCATAAGGAGCTCAAATAATATCCTGTTCTGTGCAAGCAAACTGGTTCCTGTTTGCACAAAAACTCATCTCTGAGCTCAGCCTCACAGATGGAGTCTTGGCTAAAACAACTGCTTTTGCGTCTTCCCCTGAGGTCAGGTTTTGTTTAGACCTTCCACAGCTGAGTCTCCAGAAGCTCTGGATTCAACTCAGTGCGGGTCATCAGAGAGCCTGCTCTGTGCTTCAGCTTCTGCTTGGGGGTTATTTGACATAAAGCACACAATTATAATCTACATTCCTTAATGAGCACATGGGTTCAAAGACCAGCAAGGCACATGAGGAATCAAATGACGTAGAAGAGCCCATGGTCAGGTCATTGCAGAGGTCATTGCATGGCTGGCACCTGGCTTCATGGAGCGTAGCCCCACAAACACACACACTGGAGGACAGGGGTGATCTCTGCCTCCAGGGAACTTTCAGTCTTCATGGAGGGACCTTTGAACAATGAAGCCAAAGCCCTACAGCCTCTGTTTGCAGAGCATCTCCAGCTGTGTTAACCCTCGAGAAACCCCAGCTGGAGAGGAGCGTTCAGGACCTGAAGCCTTCAGTCAGGTCTTGCTGTGAGCAGAAATATTCATTTTTTTGGCTACAACTCTTTTATTTCCAAGGAAAATCAAATGTTTAAGTCTTTTTCCCACACACAGAGCATCCCTCCCAGGAACACAGCAAGTACCATGAATCTGAACCTGCTGGAACTGGAAGAGATTTAAGTAATAAAAGGGTTTATCCAAAGCCGCTTTAATCCCGGCTCTGGTTCACATTTCTGGAGACCTTTCAGTGCTGCCCAGGCTGACTGGAAATGACTTACCCTGCTCTGCAGGTGAGAGGAGTTGGGGAAACTAGCTTGCTGCCCCTTTTCTCTTTCTCCTTCCAAAGCAGAGTTTTATCCCCAGTGGCTCAAACCAGGAACTGGCAAAGGCTATAAATCACCCTTCGGTATTGCCTCAGCCAGAAAAGCCATGTTGCAAACCTGCCCAGGCTGCCAGCCAGGATGTGAGAATGAGGAAATGCTGGGAGCTGGGCTCTCCCCGCTGCTGTCCTTCGGCCTCTTTGCCCACAGGCATATGGGACAGGGAACGGGAAGCTGTTCACCCCATACCCTACTGCTGGGGTGGGGAGGTGGGACAGGGACATGTCCCAGGGTAGATGGTCCTGCCCCAAGCAAGCATCACTGGGTGCTGAGTCTGTCCCCTGCAATGCGGTGGGGACAGACCTGGCCTGTTCTCTACCCTAATGCACTTTGTATTCTCAGGTCCTCATCCCTTCCCTTGCCTCAGGGCAGGTGTTTACCTGATTATCTCATTTATCAGGTATTTGTCTGTTAAAACCACTTCCATAAGCTCCTGCAGAGACCTGCTTTCTCTCCTCTTTAATCTCTCAATCCAGTTAACCTCATCGCTTCCTCTTTTACCCCCAAATGATTTGCCCTGCCATTCTCTGCAGACACATTCTGCATATCGAGAACAGGTTTCATGTCTCCCTTCAGTTTTTCCTGCCCACGTGAAACCCAACTCTCCATCAGAGCTGTTATTTACAGGGTGTCCAACAACTCAGCCTCTGTTCCTTGCTCTGATTTTTCTTGGAGGATGCCCAGAACTGCATTTTTCAATTGAGCCCCTAAAAGGCACCAGCTGGAGCAGAGACGCCACTTCCCCAACACTCCACTTCTCTTTCTTCATCCCAGAAGAGTGTTTGCTTTTGCACAACTGTGTGACACTGTTGACTCATGGGGCACAGTGTCCATCACCCTGTCCTCTGGCTCCCCATGGCCACTGTCTGGCCGGTCGCTCACCCAGTGTCCAGGCGGTCAGTCAGTCCGACCACACAGGACATAACACTGTCCCTGTTTTTTTAGACCAGCTCTCCAACGATTTTTAATTTTTAGTCTCTCCTCTAAAATGGTTCCAGTCCCTCCAAGCTCAGTGTCACCTACAAATTCAGTATGTGCCTCCCTACTCCATCACCCGCTAATGAAAACATGGGCTGACAGGCACTGACCCTCCCCACTCCGCACACCCTCAGGTTTAAACATTGATAAATATTGAGAATGTTGTTTTTGGAAGCCAGCAGTGAAGCCAAAGGCATGTCCCTGACCACAAGATGTTCTTCACCACGACCAAAAGTCAAGAACATCTTTCAAAACAGAGAAAAGTAGAGGAGAAAGGCCTACCAGAATTTCCTACAGGGGCAAAATAGTCTCTTTTTTTCCCACACAAGTTCAGACATTTTGGCTACAGTTTTTGTATAGAGCTACACCAGCCTGTGGTCACTTTGTAGGAATAATTTCCCTCCCCAAGGTTAAACACCCAATGCTGAGCAGAAAAACCACCCGTATATAATATAGAACTGGAAAACAAACTTTTGGTCTGTTTTCATCAAAATTATGTACTTTTAAGCAGTTACCAACAGGTTTTGCCATAGATGCCTGCAAACTCTCCTCTTCCAAATTTGTCTCCAAAGGCAAGGGGCCCCCCTTTGCAGTACCACTTTTCTACAGCAAAGTCCTTGTTTGAAGAGCTTCCTTTGCTCTTCTGCAAAAAGATCTTGCTGCCTGTGCCCACTGTGTTGATAGAGTAATGAGAAGCCTGAGAATGACCTGCCCTGTAATAAAACATCACAAAATGGGAATATGAAAGTCTGGGAAGCCCAGAGGTTTCACTGTAAGACCATGGAGAGTACAGACCTGAAGCAAGACAGAGTTTGGTAGAGCAGTGCTGCTGACAGCACACAGGACTGTATCTGGCTGATGTGACTTGGAATGAAAAGGTTATTTCCTCTGCTTATCAGCTCACAGTTCTTCAGCGATATAAAGGGGTGGTTTACAACAACTTCAGGTGCTGTACTTAAGTGTTATGGGGCTTCTCTTGCTTTTTTTGGCGGTCTTCAATCTCTTGCTGCTCTTAACAAGTTAATGATCATCTCAGTGACTCACCTATTTTTGAACCTTCCCCTCTCCAAAGTGCAAGGAGAACAGGGAAGAAGCCAAAAGCCAGGATGGTGGAAGTTTCTCAGGTAGATCTAGTAATGCCCTGCAGCCAGACACGCTGGAAGGAGGTGCTCCTGCCTGCAATGAGCTGGTGCTTCCGCTCCTCTCCCGGCAGAGCGTGCTGCTCTGCTGGGAGCTCCAGGGCTTCAGGGATAGCGAGACCTGACTCCAGCAGTCACTGCAGGGAGCTGGCAGAGGCTCCAGCTCTTTAAAACCTCTTTGTTTCTTTCCAGGAAAGACAGGGAGGAATTGCACTGTGTGTGCATTTAAATATTTGTATTGGCTATTTCCACACCGCAGTGCCTGTTAGAAGGGTCTCCAAGATCAGCACACCCTTGTCTTTCTGACTTTGCCTCTCCCAGTGACTCAGAAGATGCCCAGGACCACATGGGGAGAAGATGGCTTGGGGGGCAGTGTGGGGGGGAGGGAAGACACAGCCTATGGCAGAGGACCAGCCCAGCTCTTGCTGATCCCTTGCTTTCCCCCTGGGGAGCACAGGCGTGACACACCATGCACACAGCACAGGTAGCTCTGAGCCAGCCCTGAATCAGCCCAGTGGTGAAAACATGGAGCTCTGCCCAGGAAGGGCAACAAAGCTCATATAGGCCCATGTTCTTCCTCTTCCACCTTTCCCAGCAGCTCCTGCAAAGATCCTGGGAGAGACAGGGCAAATGCAATAGGCTGACCAGGTAGTCAGTCTTTGGGGACCCAGATGAGTGGAGCTGGGCAGGAGAGAGATGCTCTTCACTGAAAATCAACTCTCTTCCCTGACGTGCCAGGACCCCAGAGCACTCTGCCTTCCCCTTCCTCCCCCACTGTTTGCCTATGCCTGGCCAAAACATGCCTTTGGTCCAGCATCCCACAGAGGAGATCCAGCTTGCTTCATCTTTTCCACTGCACTGGCAGGGGTTTTGCAGTTCAGCCCAGAGAGACAAATATGTGCAGGTGTGCACAACATGCCTCTCCTGAGGACCCCAAAGACTTAGGGAGCCCCACTCATTGTGCTGAATGAGTACAAACACCATGTATTTCACCACTGCTCAAGACAGCCATACTGTGCCAAGCTGTGCTGGCAGCTGTAGAGGGAGCTGATGCTATTTGCCTGGCCGAGTCTGTCTGCCTGGGATTTCTCTTTGATGGTCTTGAATGAGTTTTGTAAAGCCAGCTGTGCTGGAGCACAGCCTCCTGCACCCACATTTGGCCAGGACAGCCTTGTGGTGAGAAGTTAATTTACTCTAAGCACCTGAAGTGATGCAGGTTGGTATCTAACCCCAACATAAGAAGAACATGGACGTGCTGGAGCAAGTCCAAAGGAGGCCACAAAGATGCTCAGAGGGCTGGAGCCCCTCTCCTATGAAGACAGGCTCAGAGAGTTGGGGTTGTTCAGCCTGGAGGAGAGAAGGCTCCTGGAAGACCTTAGGGCAACTTCCAGTACCTAAAGGGGTTACAAGAGAGCTGGAGAGGGACTTTTCACAAGAGGTTGTAGTGACAGGACAGGGGGGACTGTCCTTAAGTTGAAGGAGGATATAAGGAAGAAATTCTTCACTGAGGGTGGTGATGTACTGGCCAAGAGAAACTGTGAATGCTCCATTCCTGGAAGTGTTCAGGACCAGGTTGGACGGGGCTTATAGCAACCTGTTCTAGGGGAAGGTGTCCCTGCCTATGGCAGGGGCATTGGAACAAGATGATCTTTAAGGTCCCTTCCAACCCAAACAATTCTATGACTCTGTGATCTATTAGTGCTTGCCCATGATCAGTAGTTGATATCAGCCTACTTCAGTGATGGACACGTTACCACAGACCCTGGTTCTTGAAGCCTATAGTCCATGGGGACCTCTCAGGACATTTTTTTCCAAAGACTATCATAGTATAGTTCATACAAACTAAATGGAAACACACGTGTTGCCACAACCAAGGTTTTAGAGTGACTCACTGAAAATCTGAGAACCTGGAAAAAGGACGGGAGGAATTTCTGCCTCAGCTCCTTAAACCATGGGAAAATTTTCAAAATGTTCGAGTGGTTCAGGCCCTAGAGTATGTAATGGCTTTTGGAAATGTGATGGAAACTCCCATGTCACCAACATGCTTTCAAAATGTTTTATCCTTTCAGTTAAGCAACAATTCACTTGGATGAAGATGGGAAGCTGTTTAATCCACTGCAGGTCTGCAGGGAAAACTACCTGTAGTGGGTTTCTGTGGCTGGGTTTTGGTAGCAGGAGGGTTACAGGGCTAGCTTCTGTTAGAAGCTGCTAGAAGCTCCCCTTGTCCCGTGAAGCCAATGCCAGCCGGCTCCAGGATGGACTTCCTGCTGCCAGCCAAGGCTGAGCCAATTAGGAGTGATAGTAACACCTCTGTTAGAACATATTTAAGAAAAGAAGATTGAGGCACAGAAAGAATTCCAGCCAGGGAAGAGTAGAGTGAGAACATGGGAACAACAAGGTAGACACCAAGGTCAGTGCAGAAGGAGGGGCAGGAGGTGCTCCAGGTGCCAGAGATGAGGTTCCTCTGCAGCCACTGATGCAGACCAGGGTGGAGCAGCTGTGCACCTGCAGCCCATGGGGACCATCAGGGTGCAGAGACCCACCTGTAGCCCATGGAGGAGCCCGTGCTGGAGCAGGTGGATGCCCGAAGGAGGCTGTGACCCCATGGGAGGCCCAAGATGGAGTGAGGTCCTGCTGGAGACCTGCAGCCTGTGGAGAGGGAAGCCCACACTGGAGCAGGTTTTTCCTGGGTAGGACTTGTGGCCCCTGTGGGGGACCCACATCGGTACAGCTCATTTCTGAAGGACTGCACCCCATGGAGGAGTGACCTACGGAACAGCAGTCTGGGAAGAACTGCTGCCTGAGGGATGGACTCATGCGGGAGAGGTCCATCAAAGACTTTCTCCCATGGGAGGGACCCCACGGGAGCAGGGGAAGGACTCCTCTCCCTAAGCAGTGGCAGAAACAAGAACCGACTGCAACCCCCATTCCCCGTCCCCCTGAACCGCTAGGGGGGAGGAGGGAGGGAGAACATAGAAGGAAGGAGGGATGGGGGGAAAGTGTTTTTAAGATTATTTACTTTTCACTCTTTTGCTCTGATCCTGTTAGTAATAAATTTAAGTACTATCCCCACTTTGAGTCTGTTTTGCTCGTGAAGATAATCAGTAACTCACCTCTCCCAGCTCTTATCTCAACTCATGAATCCTTAGCCGGGTTTTTTTTTCACTCTCCACTGTCCAGTTGCAGAGGGAGAGTGAGAAAGTGGGTTTAGTGGGTACCTGGCATCTGGCCAGGGTCAACCCACTACACTACCCTATGAGAAGCAGTAAATTAAAATTTGAAAATAGCATTTTACTCCATTATGGGGTTGACAAAAAGCTAACTCTAATCACTGATGGTAAACTTTGAGATAACAAATTGGTGGGTTTTAATTCTTAGTATGCGACGTTTCTTAACACAGCTGCCACTGCCTTTCCCACCTCTCAAGAGAGACAGCATGGCTGGCCTACTTCTTCCACCATCGGAAAAAATGTGTTTCCCCTGAATCTAAACCTGCTTCTATTTAGGGGAGTGATGTTACAAGGTCACAGTCAAAGCATATTTCTTAACAATAAAAAGCAAAACAAAACAAACCCAAAACGAAAATAAAAAGCAAAGCAAACAACAAAAAATTATTATGCTTTCAAAGAGTATGTTTTCCTGGGGTTTGATGTGGTTCTGTTAAACACAGACTTGTTGAGTCATCAACATTTTCTTCTTTACAATCACAGAGGAAATCAAATATGTGCAGTGACTGCGGCATCTTATATCACTGTACTTTTGTTTCATGGCAAATGTGATTTTAAAAGAGGAGAAAACTTAAGCTTGATGCAGTATTTAAATCTTGTTAATCCTGCATCTCCCCAGCCCACAGAGTATTGATGCTGTAGGTGACGGCCTTCCTCTCCTGCTGTCTCTCAGTTTTGGTTTCTGGTCACAGCAGCCAATTTTCTGTGTGTTACTTTTATTTAGACTATTCTGACAGAAATCATCTGGGGTCTTCAGTACCTGTCTGCCCTCTGCTTTGCTCAGTGTGGTGCAGGCATTAGGAACACAAACCCTTCCCCAAGCTCCCTGATGGGGCTGTGATGGCCCTGTGTACCCCCCAGGCAGGTGTTACACCCTAACCAGGGTCACAATACAGGGAAAGTCCCACCACAGGTTACATTATCTGAGGGATGGTTGTACTACAAAGTCAGCTCTCCAACTCCTTCACAGTTTTCATCCTTTGTTACTCTGACACAAACCAAATGCTGAAGTCCTCCCCAATAAGCATCCAATCTTTGTAGCTTTCACAAATCCCAAAATCAGCACAGAAACCACACAGCCCTCCCCACTCGCCTCTGAGGGATCCTGGGCCCTGGCCAAAATTTTCTCCAAGTTTTTTTATATCTCAGTGCTGATTTCTCCCTGGTTGGAAGAAGCCACTCATCTCCTCAAAGCATTTGGAGAGCTGAAAATGAAAAGTGAAACCTAAATGCCAAGTGGTCCCAGAGGAACAAAGTGCATCTATCCATCCATCCATCCATCCATCCATCCATCCATCCATCCATCCATCCCTCGATCCATCCATCCCTCCCTCGATCCATCCATCTCTGCTGCGCTCACGAGGACCACATCACCTGGAACAGCAAACCCAAGCTGTTTCGGGGAAGCGGGGGGGGGGGGGGGGGGGGGGGGGGTTGGCCGGTGCCAGGGAGTTTGCCGCATCTGCACGGATGTGTCCAGTAGCTACGGGAAAGCTCTTCCCGCGGGCACCCCGTATCGCAGCCCGGCGGACCTGCCAGGGACGAGCATCACACCGACCTCTTTTCCCAGTGACCGCCCGGACTGGGACAAACCAGCCCCCGCGGAAATCTCTACCCGAGATCTGTCTGCAGCCCCAAACGCAACACTCGCACCGAGGCGGCTGAGTCCGAAACCTCCCCGGGGGCCCGGACCCCGCTGCCCAGGCCAATGGGCGGAGCGGGCCGCGGGGAGGGACCAGCCCCGCTCCGCAGCCCGGCCGTGGGGATCCCGGAACGGGAGCCTAGGAGGCACCGCTCCGCGGCGGGGGAACTGCCGGGGACCCGAGACGTTTTCCCCCGGGCGGAGGCAGCCGAGCCGAGCCGAGCCGAGCCGAGCCGAGCCGAGCCGAGCCGAGCCGAGCCGAGCCGAGCCACCCCCGCCCGGCGCTGCACCGCACGCCCGGCGCGCCCCGCGGCTGCCGGTTCGAGCCCCGGCCGTGGCTCAGCCCCGCTGGCCGCGGACTGTGCCCGTCCCCGCGCGGTGCCCGTCCCCCGCGGTCCTCACCTCTGCGCGGCGGCGGGAGGGCGAGCGGCGCCGTCCGGGAGCGGGAGCCGGAGCCGTGATGTCAGGCCCGGGCTCCGCCCTCTGCCCGTGTGCCCGCCGCGGCCGCAGCCACTGCCTCGCTCAGCTCCGCTCCGCTCGGCACAGCCCGGCCCAGCGCGGCTCTGCACAGCCCGGCTCGGTGCCCGGCCCAGCCCTGCCCGGCCCAGCGGTGGGAGCACGGGAGCGGTGGGAGCCCCAGCCCCGTCCCGCAGCG